TTAAACCAAATTTATCTATTAGTCTTCCTCTTTATTTTTCCCACGAATATTATTAATTATAAGAGTCTTGAAAATGTTTTTTAAATATATTTTAATTTTTCTATAATTTCTTATTGCGGTAAATTATAAATAAATGATTTTTATAAATAATACTTTTACTTGATTTTGCGACCACGATATCATTAATAATCGCGTGAGAAACGTTTATTTCAGTCGGTAGGACGAGACGCAAAGATTCTTTCGAAACTGCGCGATTAATTTTCAGTAAGCTCGGCGTATAACTGGCCGCTTTTGGTGTGTGTACAGATATAGCCACTCCCGCGAGATATTAGACAGGTGAGCGCGTTCCCAGGGGAACAAAGGCCCCATTACCCTGTCTTACCACCTCGACCCGGGCGGACGTTCCGCTAGACCCTTCGCTCTTGAAACATTCATAAGAGCGTTGTAAGTGGTTTTTAATAAACGTATTTAATCATGAGTGTCGGATTACGTGTAAATCGGTGGGTGCTATTACCAATCGGGAGGATTAGTCATGAATCTAAACAGATGTTCGAACAACCCGCTACCCGCTTTCAGCAGGTATGCGGGTGTTTTTTTCTTTCAATTTTGATATCGGCAAGTTAAATGTTTTTTTTACGTTTTGATATTTTTGATTAATTAATTTATTAAATGTCATTCGTTAACTATTGAATATTAAAAATTTGGAAAGTTATTATTAATAATTAGATTTACATATATTTAGGCATATTTTTTTCATATGTTTGAAACTATAAGTAAGACTATAGCAAGTCTAAGCAATGTTACGGTTAAGGCAATTATTCCTAGTAGGCGAGAAAATTATTACGTGAGCGTGTCGTCTTCTCGTCAGTCACAGTTGTCTTCGTGTTTCAGCAACAACTCTCGTAACACAGCTAAAATGGCACTGAAAATTTTGTCAGAATGCCGTGAAAAACGCTTATTACGAATTTACACGATTATACATTTCTATTTAATTTGTTTATTTTTAATTGCAATTACATCGGCGCAAGAATGCTTTGACGATGGCAACGAATTCTGTGTCAGTCAAGATGATATACTTTCTGTGGATCTTTTACCTGGATCGTTTCTGTTTAGTGATCAATATCAAAACGAAACTATTTCTAAGACAATGGCAAATGAAACCGTGGATGGATCTTTCGATAAAGCATTAAACCAAATGGACTATCATAGGTAAGGATTAAATAATTCGATAAAAAAGTTGACAAATTGAAACGTTTGTTTAATTAATTATTTTTAATTAATTGATATATAAAATTAGAAAGAGGATGAATGAATATCTTTGTCATGGTTATATGGCGGAAGAAATCTTGAAAGAAGTGAGCACTCCTAGAGTGAAACGACGTCCCGAATCTCTGCCACATGACAATTTGCATGACTTTTCAGACAATGTTACAATTCATGATAAACTTTTGGCGGACGAAGGAAGTTCGAAATATAAAGATTGGCTTCAAAGGTATAAATTTTTAAATTCTTTATAATTTTGCGCATTTAGCTAATCATATTTATAGTTTTAAAATATTTTGCGTTATGCTGATATACAAATTTACTAAATATTTATTGACTGAAAAGTAAATTATCTTCTACAAACTTTTCACAAAGTTAAGATTTATTTTTCTTCACAAATTTTAGACTTTCTAATTTTTTTCTAATATAACATAGTTTGAAAATTAAACTTTTAAATTTATTATTTAATTGAACTTTATTAAATTTAATTTAAAATATTTTTTAAAAACATAGCTATATAATGCATCTTTTCTATATGAAATTATATTCACCTATATTAATCTATATTAATCTATATTAATTTTATATTTTATAAAATATTACGCACAGTATCTGGTATAAAATAATATCGAAATTTGACTTATTTATAACAGAACAACAACCCTAAACGATGTCTATCGACACTATCCACCCCACAAAAAAATAAATAAGAAACAGGATGTCCGGGAAGATGACATTGATGAGTTTGATGGTCATGTAACAGGGTACGCAATGCAAGCTCCTCTGCCATCTGGAAAAGTGGGTTTTTACAGATCACCTCATGAAGGTCTATATTCCAGAAATTATTGCACAAATGTTGCGCGATGCACAAAGGATTTGATATTTATATATCCTATGAATAGGTGACAGATCGTCGTCGGCGTCGGAACATTCTTTCCATTATGGACCCATCGGTCACCATCATAGCGACTTTGGCCACCATGGTGACCATTTCTTCCCGTCTATTCACGAGGAATACTATTACGGACCGCATGAGCACCACGAGGAAGAAGATTATAAGCCTTCCTATTCCAAGGGAAAAGAACTTTCGATCAAGGATTTTTTCGAAATCGCGCTCACTGCGCTTGCATTTTTAGCATTCGGCCTGTTTATCATCCAATTGTGTATGAATGCCTCGGTACTAAGACTGTCTTGTTTGAAAAATATTTGTTAATTATTTCAAAAATATGTTTTTATTTCAGTGAAAATATTTAGCACAAAAGAGATGTACACATAACTTTTTTTATGGTACATTTTGATGAAGAAAATGTTTCTTACATTACAGAGCAATGGCACGAATGGAATGATGATGATGACCAGACGTTCCAAAAGAAGCGCACTTCCTCTTTCCTTATCTTCCGCTAACAATGAGAACTTAAATGACCTATCTTATCGCGTTTTGAGGTCCATCGAAGCAGTTATGGTCGCCCAAGAAGACTCTGGTAATTGTCTACGCAGGATATTGTGCGAAGAAAATCAATATTCCAAGGAAACCAATGATGGTCGTAGAATTTGGGTTCCCGTTTGGAGGTAATAAAGTGTACAGTAACCATCGCATCTCGTAAATTGATTAACGCGGTATCAATGGTCGGCGAAACGTTTGAAGTTGTTTTTCGAAATCGATAATGTCGAGATTCTTCTTTCCAGCTTGGGCATGAGCTGGTTATCTGGTAGAATATTATATAAAACTCCATGGTCGGCAATGTTGGATTCTGTGAAAGCATCCATCCTGGGCTTGGGTGGAATTGACTGTGCCTCTTTCTATTCAGGATGTGATCTCAAAAAAGAAAGAACTAAAAGGCGTCGCAAGAGAAGGAAATAAAAATGAATGACGGTTTGCAAGATTTTGCAAAGCTAAAAGTAAAATTAAACAGAAGCATATTATGGGGAATTTTGCATTCTATATTTATAAATAATTACAATAGCGAATCTATAAATATTAATCTATATGTCTCCTTTAAAAAAATATATGTAATATATATAATTATATAGTGCAATACAATATTTTATCATTGTTTATCATCAACATCATCTTGAACAATATGTGAATTACTAGAATTACGTGGAATGGGTAGAAGTGTTGCATACATCGATCCACTAGGACATACGTGAAAAACGTTCCTATCACCTCTATCTTTCAATGGCTGGCAATTTGTTAAAATTGGCATTTTATGTTCGTCGTATAGTGTGCGAAACTCTGCGATCTCGAAAAATAAAACCAATTTTACTATAAAATGAACTATTAGTCATAATTGGTGATTTTATATGATCCTTCCTTATCAATTCTGGCAACTTACTTGCTCGATGGATATTCCTAATGGTTCTCTGCTTATTAGCCAAAGTATGCTATTTTTGATATTTGTCATTCTTATAGAGCCCCAATACATGATATAATCATGTTGAAAGCATCGCATAATATTTGTTATGGGAAAAGGCACTAAACGGATGGAAGAGTGAGCAGCTTGAATAAATGGTAGTGTTTTTATAATATCATCCAAAAATGGATTGGGAGATTCCTGAAGCTGCAATATTATTCTTCCAAAAATATATACGTATTATTTTTTCAATATATCTAAACAGATTTGTGCTCCAATTCTGAAGTCGTATATTTTAGAATATATTAAAACCAAAAAAAATAACACGTATAAAAAAATAGTTTAATATAAAAACATTATACTTATATAATTGAAAAATATTCTTCTCAATTAAAAAAAATCTTTTAATACCTGAAATAAATATACTAAAATAATAATTCCACCATTCTGACGAAGAGCCGCTACTTGAGTCTCGTAATCACTCTTATAATGCACCGCGTGCAATTCCATTGGCATGCTACGTTGACACAAATTGACATTTAAATAAAATAAATTAATGAATAATTTACAAAGTAATAGTAAAAGTAAAACCTTCCACCGTCGATATAATGTTCGCTACCGTTCATATCGGTTTTCCCCCAATGAAAATGGAGTTGTGAGAAGATGTAATTACCAACAAAAGGACCGCCACACAAATATGGTTCTTCTGCATGCCACGTTGCGCTAAGAATCACTATTAACAATAAATACAATTGCAATATTTATCTAGAAATAATTTTTTGAATATTCTATTAACCTAACCAGTATATCCGGTGTTGGTGAGTTTCATTTTCTTCGGCGTGTCATTGTAATTATGCCATTGTACAGGATTTAATTTAATGACTTTCATGTGACTGATATTCAAATTAATTGGTGATTCCAGTTTGCCATCAGTTTTAGCTAATTGTTGTATGAATCTAACCATTTCATTACTATCCTTATCAGTATCTAAAAAATTGCAGAAAAAAATATTTTAAAAATAAAATAATTATATAAAATAATGCCATTTTAATTTATATATATGATACCTGTTGAAGAATTCATGCCGATATATTATTTTGTATTATATTATTAATTGAAAGCTTTTTATGCAAGACTTAAAACATAATATTTGATCGACTTTGCTCACACTTCTCAATTCAAATGTCATCGATATCATGAATCATTAATAATAAGTCACTTTTTGTATATATAAAATAATTATATATTTTTATAAAAATAAAAGAAGAAAAACGCAATGTTTTATAATTGAGAAGAATGTACCGAAAATAAAATAATTTATTTAAATCCTCACAAAAATAAGAGATATTTAGCATCAAATATAAAATATCTAATGCTCTAAAAATGGACTTTGCGCGGACAATCGGTAAATCTGACGAGCAACGAACCTGGAAAAGGACTCGTCAGCCATTTGTAACGACCAGAGATAACATCCTCTCCGAGGATATATCATTTTCGGAGGATTGTCGTTTTGTAAATTGGCGAAAGTGGCTTGCTGATCGAAAGAAGCAGAATCGTCACATCGAGACTATTACCGGTCGCCCGCAAGTCGATCAGCTGCAAAGTTCTTCGGAGAGATTTCGCGCTTTCGTCGAGATGAAAAATTTGATGGAACACGCAGCCATACCGGTACCCGTAATCGCCGATAAATATCGCGGTGGACCGGAATTTTGGCGCACGCCCGAATTTCTTTCGGATCACGATGCTTGCCATTTGCCCAAAATATCGTTGACTCCAACTAGGAAAGACCTGAATCTTCCTCCGGATTTAATGCACGTTGAATTACCCGATTTAATAGCGAAGGAACGAGATCTTATGGTGTTGAAAACCAAGGAGGAATCTTGGAAACGTAGCGAGTATTTAAAAACGCGTAAACTCGAGTTGGCTGAAGAAATCGCATTACTGTTGCCGAAGAAACCGGAAATGGCAGAATTAGTTATTCAAGGACATGCTTTTGGAAAGAAGGAACCGCTGCTACGAATTCCGCCGATAACCATCACAGAGCCCGATGAAGAGTCTCCCGAAGATGTCAATCAAGCGATAGTACTCAAGATTCAAGATCAAGAATTCATCTGGCGAAAATCTTTCTTCGAGCCGATGGACACCGATCCCATTACATGGTCTTTAACTTTCACGAGTGAGATTGATGAGCTTGTCGAAAAAGAAATTGTTCTTGAGAATAAAGGCACTCGTGTTATCGTATATCATTGGCGAGATTCGCCAACTTTCCAGTCAAGCAGCGTATCCTTCGAAAGATGTGGCAATCCATTCTTCTTCAACAAGACGAAAGGTCTCATACTTCCAGGACAGATCATAAAAATCAAGGTATGGTTTCGGTCTAAAACTCGAGCAGTTTTCATCGAGTCCTGGCGATTCATCACAGAACCGAGATTGAGTCCCTCGACGTTCTTATTTCGCTTCTGGGGCTGTGCAATCGATAGTCGGAGCACAGAACTGACCGATCATCGAGCGATAGATGAACATTTAGATTGTCGCATTCGTGATTCAACGATACGCTCGATCATCGAGGAAATTATAATCAGCGTGGAGACCAGTGAACCACCGGAGCCGACTTACAAGCCGTTATTTTCGCAAAGCGACTTATTCACCTCTCTAAATCCCTATTATTACTATCATCCGAGTATCGTGACACAATTGCAAAAAATGTATTGTGACGTTACCGATGAAAGTTTGTCAACCTGGAACTTGTCGCTGGATACTTTGCGAGACATCCTTTTACAAATAAAGGATGTAAACTACAAATGCGATATGCTTTCTCGATTCAACAACCTTTGCAAGCAAAGTCTCAGACCCAGTTGGACTGAATTTAATTTTACTTGTAAGAATAAATATAACGCTGTATACAGTATTTTATGCGCTTTTGTGAATTGTTTTGAAGATGAAAGTGAACTCGTGAAGAAGAATTGTTTGATACAAGAAAAATCTGCAACAAAAATAGATCAACAAGAATCAACGCTTTTATCGCAAAGATCCAATAAAAACTTTCAAGAAATACATACGGAAAAATCAATCGATCAAACACAAACGTTAATGCAAGAAAAAAGAAAGGAAAGTTACCATTTAAATCTACAACTTTACAGAGAAATTTTTTTCATTCGTATATATAAAGCTCTGGAAGAAGCATTAGAACGAGCTTGCGCCAGTATCGATTCTTTCAATAGACTTAATGAGTTCAAGAAGTGTAAAATATAACGATGATTATAACTTTCACAGTAATATAGATAACATAAATTAAAAAATTTAATAAACATAAAACAAAATATTTTTAATATTACTTAGAATGATTTAATAGATTATTACATTTTATATAAATTAGAAAAATTTAAGAGCTTTTCAACTAATTTGTTGTATAAAATTATAAATATATTGTAAAATATTAAGTTAAAATATTTAAAAACTTGAAATAATTCATCTGAAATTTAAAGCAAGATACAAATTTTTGTTAAGAGATAGCCAAAAATATTCGCCGGCCTCGTAAAAGTTGAACTTCTCTCCAATTTGATTTTATAAATTCACCTTTCTTATTCCTCAATTTTCGAAATTCATTAAGCTGTAGGAAGTTTATTAATACATTTATATATTTATATATATATATATATATATATATATATATGTGTGTTCATTAATATTAAAAAAAATAGTTTTTGCAATGTATTCTATAAATAATAAATATTAGTTTCAAATTAATAACAATAATCATAATTATTTTACGAAATTTAGATGAATATTTATAACTTATATTTTGCACAACTTACTTGGCATGATTGTATAGGAATAATAACTGGAAATACGATCCATGTAACACATTCCCAATTAGATTTTACATTATAGGATCCCTGATAAGTATAATAATTTGGACAATCTGTTGCTATTCTCATCCAAGATAAAGAGTCTAAAAATTTCAAAAATATATATCAAATTTAAAATAATAATGTATGATAAACTTTCTATTTTTTTAATATATTAACTTGATGGAATTTTTATTTCTGATCCAGCATTTTGAACGTATTGCAAATTTTCAGAGATTCTATAAAACTTATTGTTATTCCATTGACAAGAGCCTGATTTGACCTATAAAATAAATTCATTAATAACGTATGAAACGTAAAAAAGATATAATTACGTATTAATAATTATACCAAAAATAAATAGGCCAACACGCAAATACCATCTCGGTGTCTTAAACATTCCTCAAAAGTGAGATATTTCCGATTCCAATGTACTATGTGGCATTCCATGGAAAACCTACATTTAAATGTAAAATTTTCACTAACAATTCTCTAATTTTTATATGCGATTATTAATCGTAATTGATATTACGTCCTTACCAAGTACCATTGATCATGTGTTCAGCTCCTCTACAATCATTTTCACCCCAATGAAAGTGTGCATCGTAAAATTCATACTCATCATTTACGAGAGGACCACCAAACACCGTTGATGGGATTCTATCACCATTCAAAAAAATCTTCACTAATAAGAAAAGAATTTGATATTCAATTGCGTTTCACAAACAAGCCACAATAAAATTATGTAAATATATAAAACAAATTGTATTACCTGTTTTGCCATTATTAAATAAGGTTGCATTCCCATCATTTAACCAGTGGCCATTTAAAATTAATGGTGGAAATCTCTTAGGTCGTACAATTTTGTCAATTAAATCAATCGGTGCTTGACCAGTTTTTCGCAAACCTTAACAAATATTAATATATAATTTAAAAATTATAAGATGCAGTATGCATAACCTCGATTCAGTATTATTTTTTATGTATTTCTTACCTATAGCTCCTGTATAATTCGTCATTATTGTATTAATTAAGAATCATTTTTAACATAATATATAACTACAAAATTTTTTTGTACAAAATATAATTACATTTTATTAAGTTATGTCATCATGTTATATTTCACAACTTAACATCTTTGAAGTTAGCTAATTTTTTATAATTATCATTATTTACAAAATCTCGAATCTTAAAAAAAAATTTATGTGATAAATGCATTATTTTTGTATTTTTATACCTTTATTTATATTTTTAGCTAGGTAAACATAGGTAATATGTGGAAAAGAATCATTTCTACTATATATAATGTAATAATTTTTTAGTGATAGTATGTTTTTGATATAGATTAAACTATTGCATGGACATCACACATCTGTGGCAAAGAAAATCCTTCTTCCATGAAGAAGATGTTGTGACCTATAATTTCTTACTATACGTTCCCATTTATGATTGTAGAGATTTCTGAATGCTTCCACCTATTAATATATTAGTTGTATTAATTGTATAAATTATATATATGGGAAGATATTAATTTATGATGTATATAATTTTCAAAGTTTGATATGTTACTTGATTGGAAGATATTCTTATCGCATTTGGCACAATTATCCACGTAACGCATTCATTATATGGAGGAAAAGTAAGAGAACCTGAATAAGTGTAATATCCAGACCACTTACATGCGTGCGCCATCCAACGTAAACAATCTATGATATATATATGATTAGATAGTCAATTAAAAAGTATTAACATTATAACATCGCTTTTATTCATGAAAAGTAAAAAATATTATCAAAAATATGATGAAATAAAAATATTATGAAAATATTATGAAATAAAAATATACAAATTTTTACTGATGATTGGAAATAATAAAACATGAGAAAAATAAAAGAAATGATTTCTATTACGCGATTTAGTTTACAATGGATCAAATTGATACATTAAATTGAAAAATTAAAAATCGCCTCACGTAAAAGTACCAGGTGCAATATTGACGGTGCTATTTGCTTGTTTTATTTCTGCGAGTTTATCAGTAATTGGAGCAAGTGCAGGATTGTCCGGAAGCCCAGAACAACCAACAACCTTTTTTTATAACAAATATATATTTTTATAATTATATAATTTATATTTTTTATATTTATATATTTATAAATGTATCATGATAATTCAATGAAAGATATCATCGAACAATCAATGATTTATCTTGAAAGTAAAAATATTGATTTTTTTTTCTTGATATTTATTTTTGCTTATTATTATACCTGCATGAGATAAGAGAGTATTGCAATCCCGTCAGGTTTATTGTAGCATTTTTCTATCAATCCATAACGTGTATTCCAATGCATAACTTGCGCTTCCATTGAATACCTTATTAAATACATATCATTTATAAATTATATATTAATTATATATATTAATCAGCATCAATTGAACAAAATTCATATAATTTAAAATTATACGTTTAAAATAATTTTAAATACATTTATCTGAGTTTAAATAAAAAATGTAATTCTTTTGATACATTCTTGATCTTTCTTTCATATAATTATTAATTTTAAACATTAAATTGCTCCCTTTCATTCTCTCTAATATTATCCAAATATACTATATATTATCTATTGATAATATTACCAAATATTATCAATAGAATGTTCCGCGCCCCGACAGTTGGACGGACCCCAGTGAAACTGTATGTTCATGAACTGAAATTCATCGTCTTTTAAAGGACCACCGCGCATTATCGGCATTTTTCTGTTCGCCAGTTCAAGATTAACTAAAAATTATTAAATTAAATATATTTATAACAATTTTTAACTTTGTGCTAAATATATAAAGAAGTAACCTGTTTGGCCAGTGTTAGCAAGTATTGCTGTGCCAAGATTTGAACAATAATTAGTCAAAAGCAATGGTGGAAATTTTTTGGTCCATACAGTGATGCGGCTAATATCAATCGGAGATTGTCGCCATTTTGGTAGGCCCGAAGATGATGTCGTGTACAATTTTTCTTACAGCACGTAATTAAAATAAGTTTTTAAAATAAAAAAAAATATATATATATATATATATATATATATACTTTTTTCTTTAAATATATGTATAATATTATACACCTTTGGATTTGGATGTCATTTTTCTATCGATTATAATGTCGAGCCTTCAAATGGGAAGTAATGTGAAATTAAGTGTTTATTATTTTCACGAAACATGTTAAACATGTAAGTATTAATCATCTGATATCTAATATAATGACATTTTTGTGAACAGGTTGTAAGTTACCAATTTATGGTAAGAAGTTGCTAACGCGTTGTTTTAAATCGCTTAATTTTTTTATTGGAAAAGATATAAGATTACCTTCACATTATTTGTGTGGATTGAAGTATGCTTTATCGATTCTCATAAATTGTCACATGTCACATTTGATGTTTTACATTATATTTTATATTTTTATAAAAGTAGTTTTATAATAAAAATTATTACACATGAAATGTTTAGCGAAATTTTAAGTAAATTGTCTATGCATGCATAAACTTTTATTAGGTAATTTTACACATATGAAGACAAGTTTGAAATTTTTAATTCAAATACTCCTAATAGATGTCATTATAAAAATTATAAAAATGTTAGACTTTTCGTTAACGGAATGTATGATTGTGTGTAGCAGCGTTCTTCTCATAAGTAAGCATCGCAAAAAGACACAATGTATGCACACATACACGAATTATATATATAACGTTATATTACAATATAATTTCATTCATTCTAGTTTTATTTTTGAATGACATTTGGAACTGGACACAATTATTCTCATGTACGGAGAACCGAACGGATTATGTGGATTACCGTACACCCGCTTTCTCATTTGGATACGCTCATCAGAACGGTCCTCATACTTGGAAGGACTTATATCCCGCAAGCACCGGTAGCAATCAATCGCCAATCAATATTATCACCAGGCTCGCTGTAGTGATGCAACCATCTGAACCACTTCTATGGAGCAATTATAATAACGGACCTTTATCGATGACTATCGCAAACAGTGGTCATACTGGTAGATTTAATTTAATTTTCTATTTAATTGAATAAATTAAAATAAATTATGATAAATTTTCTTGATATTTTTGTAATTTATAATAATAACATAAAATAAAAGAGATTAATTAAGATTATATAATACTTTTCTTATTATGCATTTTTAATATATGCAGTGATATTCCAAGGATCTTGGACCAGTACTACGTGGCCGCAGCTTAAAGGAGGACCTTTGACCGATACATATGATTTCTCTCATGTTCTCTTCCACTGGGGTCCGTCAAACGAAGAAGGCAGTGAACACACATTAGATTATGTTCGTTATCCTATGGAGCTACAAATTGTTCATAGAAAACGTGGAATTAAATCATTGTTGGAGGCAATTGCTCTCGGAGCGAAAGACGGACTAGCGATTGTTTCATTTTTCCTTCAAGTATGATTTTTTGTCAGGGAATATCTTATAAATATATCTTATAAATTATATCATAAATATCTCCTGTAAATAAAAAATTAAATTGATTCATTCTTTCTTCCCCCCCTCTCCCTCCCACTCTCTCTGTATTTCTCTTTCTATTCAATAAAATATGTTACATATTAAACTGGATTTATTATATCATGCTTGATTTTAGATAAATTATGCGGATAATCCTTATTTGGATCACATTGTGAGCAATTTGTGGCGCATTACCTCACCAGGATCGATAGTCTGCATACCTCCTTTTCCATTGGAATGGATTTTTTCACCTTTCGACAGAGATTACTATACATACAATGGTTCTCTCAGTCAACCTCCTTGTAATGAAATTGTTACATGGATCGTTCAGCAAGAACCAATCGCCATATCCACATCGCAGGTAAAATAATCTGTTTGTTAGATACTATGTCAAGATGTATATTAAGATATTTGTCATCGGCTTTACATTGTCATTAGTATAATCATATATATAATTGTCTACTATATAGGTGGAACAATTTCGAAAACTATGTTCAATAGATTACCAACCGTTACTTCTTAATTGTCGACCAGTTCAATCGCTAAATGATCGTGATGTTTACTTTTATGAAGAAAGTGTATCATAATTTTTTAACCCACATTTATTTTATGAAAATATTCATCCTTAAGCACATATGAAAATCTTATTCCTTTATTTTTGCGTTCATTTCAGTAAATATATGTGCAATTATATAAAATAATAAATTCGATACATTGGTAATATCCTATTTATACAGATATTTACTTAAGATATAAAATATGTAAATTATCGTTATCAAGCTCAATTATAAGTGAATTGCTTATTTTATGAAGAATGTAAATAACATTCAAACGTTAAAAAAATTTTTATGAATATGGATATAAATTGTTATATTTTTTTAGTTCGTGAAAATAAGTAAAATCAGTTACAAGTTTACACAGAGAACAACATCTTTATTACCCTTGAGGTACGTTCTATAAATATGTAGGACATGTCTTGCTGTTTTAAGAAAATAAAAATATATTAAAATTTGTATCACTCATTATACAATAAAAATTCTTTTGGCACAAGTTATTATAATACATTCTTCCAAAATTAGTGTCAAAGAAGGAAGCATTCCTTTAGTTACAGAATATATATGACACATTCTTTCTATAGATGTATATATGTATGTATCATCCATTTTCTAAAATGGATAATAAAATATATATCTATTCTATATAATTCTATATAATATATATCTAATATACATGATTATTAGAAGCTGCTGGAGCCGATTGACATTTTTATCACTTCAAATTTTCAGATCACAGAAAGAAATTTTGCTATCATTACAAATATTAATTTTTAAATAATTATATATATATATATATATATATATATACATATATATATATGAATATAATAATTATATATATATATATATATATATATATATATGAATAAAAATGTAACGATTTGTTATATAAAATATGTTAGTGTATATTAAGTAAAAAAATCTTATTTATCTTTTTCAAATCTATATATTTTTTTAAATTTAAATAATAGATAAATAAATTATCTTGAAAATTCATGCAGTTAAAACGCGTAAATAGCATTATATGATTTTAATATTGTTACGCGCGCGCCCAAGTCGTTATGACCCTGCCGTTGTTCGGATCTCGTCGGCAGGAAGATTGTTTACAAACAACGACTGTCAGATGAGTCTGGAGCCAGCTGTCTAGCTGTGCGGACGCGTTTTTCTCCCGAGCCGTTCCGTTGTGCTATTTGCGTTATTATTCCGATTGTTATTATTTACGTTATCGTTTGTGTTCTGTGTTGTGCATTAAAGTTCGTAAGTGCGCGCTTTCGATATTTATCGAAGTCCTCGCCGCGAGCGTAACAATATATTTCTCAATGGAATACTCTAATATTGCGCTTAGAAAACCTCAAAAATGAAAATATCACAATCAGTTCCAGCTCTCCTACACACATCCATATACTCTCATTCGTCAAAATCATTTTTCTAAAATGCATACAGCTTTGTGCGAAAAATTATTTGTATTTTGAATCAGGTAAATTTTTCAGAAAGGAAAAAGAACTCGAAAATTCTCACATACACAACGCATATACTCTTATTATCTGCATTGGCAAGTGTATTTACAAGCCGACAAGATATCGCGAATAACAATTCACGTTATTGATCGATTTTCACCGGCAATCGTCATAAAATTTTATGCGAGATATCATAACATTGCGACTTGTTATTTGGATTGAACACAACAAAGATGCGTATATATTGTATATATACATCAGAGTGTATTGGTTACCTTGTTACTGACTCGCAGCAAAGTACACACTAAAGAATGATCTAAAAATGTAGCGTACGCATTTATCTCGCTTCGAAGTTGATTAGACACTTCACAGAAAGAAAGAACAAGACTTGCTTTCTTTTCACAGGATTTCTAAGTTGCAGTTTTATGAATCTTGTCATTGTCTTTGATTTATACAAGACTCGATTTTGAAAATCTTGGCAGATGATACAAAACGAAGTTATTTCCTCTTTCTCAATGAGAAGAATGCATGTGCCATGACATTCTTTTCACTTCATTGAGACTACGAACTATGGATCATTCATCCTGCATATCCCTTATTGTTCGACAGAGAAAAGCAGATGTTATTATTCCGAATGTCTGAAATTATTATAAAATAATTTACATGATTATTCTATTCTTATTAATTATTTAAAATAAAAGAAACAAAGCTGTTTAAGAAAAATTATTTGGCAAATCTATTGTTGAAATACGAAAATATTTTTTTAAACAGGATTTTTTATCCAGTTTAATTTAAATCATACAATTTTTGTTAAAACATTTTATAAAATTCGAGGATCTTGAGATCTTCGAACTTTCTTAAATAAAATCACAAACTTTTAAAAAATAATTCGGAGAATATTTTTTTAATCAATGTACTTTAGAATTTAAAATGTATTACACGAGATGATTTATTAAAATAATTTACCTGTATTCCTGCCATTGCCATTCCGAGGAATACCAACGTGAAACTTTCGCATTGCAACCAGTTGGTAACTTTTCCAAGGCAGCCCTGAAAATACGTGTTTACTGAAATATTCACATAGCTACGTGATATGTAGCGCCGACATTTTTATAATAAAATGTGTATCTCTTTGTACTTCTTTGTGTCTGTATCCCTCATGACCTTCTTGATTCTCTACTTGACATGCGGCCTCATCCTTCGGTTGTGGATGCAGCCACGGTTTTTCGTTCTACCAGTGACAAAAGATTACTCACATAAAATTCATGTACTTCACTTTGCCATTGATATTTTACTCACATTTTTGTGGAACACTCTCGAAACAACGCTCATTGGACTGCCTGTATTTTTATTCTGCAAAATAGAAGTATTTGCTGTGCGATTTTACTGATAAATTTATTATAATAAATATTATATCTATTAATAACGTATCTTATAATAACGTAATTATATAATAAATTTTATAATTATAAATATCTAAGATAGATATCTAAGATAAATTATAAAGGTAGATATCCAAGGTAAATTATAAATATCTAGATAACGAAAAATGAAATATAATGAGCAATTTGTAAATTCAAAAGTTGAAATCATTCAGGGAATTAAAATATTTGTTTATATACGAGGCGCGTCTATTAAATAACCGAATTGATTTTTCTTAATTCGTAACATTTTAAGCAAAAATTGAACATTCGCTTGGATCGTTAGTAGAACTTGATCATATTCATCTAATTCGGCACTCTGTCTCTGTTTCCAAAAATCTATTGAAAATTTTAATAAAAGGAATTCTATGATAATTCGATCAAAGTGATTCTATCGAGCGTTTCTGAAACAATCTTAAGAAATGAATCTTCAGAAATCAATCTATTTAATTGTATGACCGTCTAATAATCGATGCTGAAAGGATAGATCTTGTATAAAAATAAATTAATTTTATCACACATTACGATTGAACACATTTCGATTTTATGCAGCTTTAACTCAGTTATTTAATAAATGCGCTTTTTAAGTTCATAATTTATTTATAGGATGTAAACAAAATGTTTAAGTAATGATATCACAAATGTTTAAGTAATGATATCACGTAATATTTATGAATTTATGTATGTGCTTTCAAAATTTATGTATGTGCTTTCAAAGCTTGTTGTTTGCCATCAAATGTTTTATATGAATAATTTTTTTTTCAAAAATTCATCTAATATTGTTCTAAGAACAATCAATTTGCATAACAATCAATTGCATAAAATACCTCGGAATTTTTAAGAACACAACATGTGAGGGGAACTTGTCTCCTGTTTCCCGAGATTTGACTGTCCCTCCACCAAGCTGTACCATTGTAGTCGTTGTCGCCATGGACTCCACAGCAATTAAACTGTAATGGAATCATCCATGTGTTCTTCGAACCATCATGAAATGTCTTGTCGGGTGGACGATTTCTGACAAAGCATCGCATGCGACCTCGTCATGCATGAAACATAATTCACAAGCACGTATTTTGCGCGTAATACGTGCTGTAGGGAAAATAAGCCGAAATACACAAACATCTTTCAATAAAACGTTAAATAAAAAAGGCACATTATTATTTCGCTCAAATGCACAGCGATAATTACGGCATGCGATCTTCAACGAGAATAAAATTGAAATTTTGATTACAAGAGATATACAGAGAACAAGGATTTACGTCAAAAGTTGGAAAATAAGAAGTGAATTAATATTAAAACAAAATCAAGAATATCGGAAAAGGACAAAAAACATTCTTCGAGCGATTCTTCGAAAGCATAGAGACATAGTACAGAGTGTGAATTCGAGATGAGCATTTAATCGAGTGAAATCCCTTAATTTCTAAACCTTGTACTGCGCAAAATCCAAGCTATGGCTGAAGGCAATATCGCTGGTCGGATCGTGACCATAATTCACTGCCAGTTTACTGGTGAGCCTCTCCTCCAGATCTGACAAGATCTGAAAAGTCATCAACCCTCCAATGGCCGCCGTCACCAGTTCCGTGATGATGAGCGCGACCAGCATGCTCATGTACTGCGAAAAAAAACGAATGACGATGAAAGCATCGCCGACCTTGACCCCCGCCGATCTATAACGGTATGTGCGACGAGTTGGATGGCAAAAATGTCGTTTTACTCACGGTGGCGAGGATGCATTGATTTCCGCGTAGCGCGGCGCGACAGCCGAAGAAGCCGACCGTAAGCACGATGAAACCGAGCCCGAGGAGGCTGTAAGCTATCAGATTAATAGTTTCATGCGGCTTGACGTCAGATACGAAAAGATTGAGAATGTGCCCCTTGCTGGGCTCCAGGAGTAACCAGGCGCCTATAACGAGCACCGTGCAGCCAGCCAGCTAACGAAAAGAAAAAAATCGCACGGTGATTTCTCATTTCTTCCCTTATAACGTGCTCTCGCATAGGTAGGTAATTTTGTACTGTAGGAAACCGTTTTCCTAAATATGCACAAAGTTAAATGACGTTTAAATAACGTTGTGTCATTTTTTTATAGAAATATTATATAATCTAATCGAACATCGATGCAAAAATTTGAAGGCTAATTGTTTTGCTCCGAAGTACACATAGAAGAAATATTTATAGTTGAAGCACTAGCGTCTAAGTTGTCGGTACGTGTCGCTATTTCTAGACTTAGTTTATAATGTTATAAAAGAGTGCGTATTATTTACCCATATTAATAGATTGAACGTAAATAATGCGATTTTCAAATATTTCATGTTTATTATCCTGGACTCTCCAATTAGTCATCAATCTGCAAATATAACAATACGTGACCAATGTGTTGTGAAATAAAAAATATACAAAATATTAATTTATCGTGCAAATATTAAACTTTCCAATTCGCATCTCTGCTTTGTAATTTTTTTCGCGTTTTAAACATATTGATGCATAAAAATAACACAAAATAAATCTGAATAATAGCATTTGAATTTATATTTAAATTTATGTAAGCAACATAAATCTCTTTTAAAGACATTTAAAAAACATGTTTTTCCCTTTGATTTTAATGAAATTTGATTTCTTAACAATTTTTTTAATTTTAGAACGCTTTTTATTATATTTTATTTTATTGAAAATTTTGTACAAAAATATTTTTTTCTATTATTTTCACATAGTTTCTAGTACACCATTGAGAAAATAAAATAAAAAGAATGTTCTTGAACTTTAAATTTAAGTTAGCAAAGAAAAATAGGTTACTATTTTTATCTATTATTATAATTGAAACGAAACATTAAAAAAAAATATTATTTAATTTATTTAATTATTTATTGTGAATTATGCATATTTCATATCGCACAGGATTTAAAATTTATTTTATTTCTTTATTGACCACAGGGAATTTTATAAAGTTCTCTTATATTTATATTAAAAACATAGACTGTTCTTTTACGTTTAAATTAAAAACACAGACTGTTCTTTTATATTTATATTAAAAACACAGACTGTTACAAATAATCAAAAAATATCACTACGCAGGTAAAAACTTTATGATGGTAAAATTATATACAGGCATTACCTGTCAGTAGCGAGTTAACTTAACTCGTTAGCTCTGCTCGATAACGATGTCCAGTTATGTGCTCTCGATTATCCCTGCAGAACACTTTTGTATATAATTATTGCACAATTACACAGTTCGCCGCGCGTTTTACAAACAATGCCACACAGTTATAAATATCGAAATCACAAACACACAGATGCACAGATGCACATTATATCCGTAATCCTCAAAGATGATCGATGTCTTGATATGCGTTTCCAAGCCGGTTCACAGGTGGTTCGTAATCTTCGTGCGTTCTGTCATTGCTCTCTGAGATCGCTCTCTCCTAATGTTTCGATCGACACTCGAAATGTCGACAATCGGGCGTCGCGACGTCGCATTCGAGCAGGTGCAACCCCGTGAGCAGAGACGGACCCGCTTATCGCTCGTCGATATCGGCAGATCGATAGAAGCTCCTCCAGCATCCAGGTATTTTATCTCGTGTGCCGAAAGCGCGAATCCTCCTTTACTCGTCAACTCCCGATGGAAGACCAAACGCTAAGCGGAATCGAAACGGACTGGAGCCTGCCACCGGATTCCGTATGCTGCCTTCCTCACGTCTGTACGTCATCGATGTTGGTCCAGATGCGTCTGCGTGCTTCCGCCGTCGCGGCGCCGACGCTCTATCGTCGGGGGTGGGTGGGTTGATCCCCGCCCGCAATCCAGGATCTCGCCAACGGTCTCGGCCTCATCGACTCGCGTTGTCGTTCTATTTACCGCATGGCAATTCTATAATAATCCACGCCTTGATTAAAGTATTTTGGCCGTCTTCGATCTTTTTCGAATATAGAATATAAATCGAATGACACGATCGAATAAATTAAATAATATCACGATGAAACAAATTTCTTATAAAAGCCCATGATATCTCAAATATTATTCGGATGACAAAATTATGAATTCTTATTCGGAAGAAAAAACTTGCTGCTACACATTGCTATGCATGACTTATGAAACAAACACGAAAGATCTAATGTGGGAATTGGACGAAGCAATTAATTTAGCCACGCGGAAGCTCAAATTAACGTTTACGTAATAACCCGACAGTTCGTTGCTTTATGCTGAAAAAGATACGCCATGTGAGATATTACATAGAAAAAAAGTCTCATTATATATTATGTAAATATAATAAATTTTTATTATTAGATATTAACAATTTTTACAGAATTTGCGCTTAAATATTATACAGCTACGACTAAAAGATGCCAACGCTATAATCGGAGAACACTTATAACACAAGTTTGTTGGTTTGTTTTTTTTTAATACAAAACAGCTTATATAAATTCCACAGCAGTGGACGTCCGCTATACGACTAGAGATATACATTCAATCAAGTCGTATCGTATTTAATTCCACTCGACGCCGTTTCACCCGACATCTTTTCGCGGATCTGTTAAACCTAATATCGAACAAAGTCAAGTAGCGTCGTCAAAAGTACAAGGAAATAGGCAGTTACGCGTGTCTGATTAAATACTTTACCACTTACGTCATGAAGTGGTTTTTTTTTACCTCGCTTGTATGGCAGTCGCTTATTAGAGACCGTCGACGCGATCGTGTGAACAAGAGTGAGCAATAATCGCAATGGAAGCGCGCGCGATGGTCATTGTTGAAACTTTACGAAATTTAATAAAACGCGTTCTTGCGATTTCTTTTTTATACGTACATACATACAAAACATTACGATATAAATCGTCATCGCGGTTAATTGTGATTATGATACAATAGAATGACATGAGCAAACACGATTGTATAAATAAACAGATATTATAGTACAAAGTGATCGGGATCGATCCATTTACAAGATCACGAGTCGATGGAACTCGCACATATGCATTCACAAATACACTCATATAAACTCATAACTTCGTCTTCGTCTTAAATCTACGCATTGGACGGTTGCAATCATAGTTTTGTTATTTTTCTCTCTTTCTTTTTCTTCTCTCCTCCCTTCTCTCTTTTTAAAATTAAAACGTACGCGTGCGCATAATAGTCCGCATGAATTTCTACAGAATACGGAACATCTTCAAAGTTATTAGTCAAGACTTGATTAATGCACCTCTATTAATCCAACTTTCTCGCGTTACGTTTAAAGTCACAGTCATAATAATAATAATAATTTACGTTGCAATCCCGGTGGCGATTATTTGTAATCTCGCTATTTATTGGCGGAACATATTGCCTCAGCTTTAGCCTTGCGAAAATTCAATTCACGACGGGAAATAAATCAGACAAAAGATATCGGTAGAAAGATATTCTCGCGATCTCTCTTTTAGCTCGTTCCTTTTACACGCGCGACATTTTCACGGCCTCGTTTCATGTCGTTGTATCTGAACGCTACATCACGCTGCTCTTTTATGGATACCACATGCAGAATAACTCGTTCAGAATATATTCCGCCGGGAATTCTGCGGATGCATTTGCGCGGTCGTGTGAATCGGCACGCAGGTATCGATACACATTCAAAAGATGACATATGAAGGGCAGAATATATATATATATATATATATATATATATACTTAACTATTTTCCATGAGCTTTTCATATGGCGCCTTGAGATTATACATGTCACAAAAAATACGCGCTACGTGATACCAATTTTTCTGATTCCTATTTTCTAGTTATATGTCATATATTACGTATTTTGTCGAAATTAAATTTTCTAGCGCTTTTTTGTTACACATGCAAAAAAGACAGATAATTGTATATTTTATATGCATTGTGAAATGATGTTTGTCGATATGATGTCTACGCGAGATGTGAGATTTTAGGCATTTTAATATTTTACAGTATATCGATAAAACTTTGATGTAAAAAAATATTACGTCCATCACAGTCTTACTTGTATATACGATATCAAAATTACATCGATGTCATATTAATTCATTTTTGTCTCTTTCTTGACAAATACGTTTAATTCGGTGACAGTTTTCAAGCCAATGCGTGGCTGGTTTGAAAACTGCATTCGCACGTCATTGTGCCATATAACTTACAACTCCGTCGTGGTCTCTACGGGGCTTTGCTCACCCAGATACGTAAATCCGAGATGCGAGTAATCCTTCCTCTCTCTGAAGGTGACGTTGTCGTTGGACGGACTAGGGCTCAACAGATCTCCGCCGTGATTGTACAAAGGATTAAGTACCGGTGTCGCATCGCGATTGTTCAGGGTATTTGTGTTGCTCGCACCGTGATTCTTTCGGCCCAACGTGGATCGCCTTAAGGAATGGATATTGGTGTCACCGTGATTACCTGCGATACTGGATGCGCGCGCCGTGGTTGCCGCTTCGGAGCTAACGGGACTTTGCTGGCCTTAAACGGAATACATAAGCTCGCTGTATATACTGGATATATTGGAATTGTAGCGTGAACGATCTACACATGTATCGTGCGGGAATAATTCGTGTCGCTTAAAATTTTCTTTGGATTAAGATAATTTCGTTTTTTAAAAAATATCAATATACAAGAGAAAATAATATATATTTTTATAACTGCTTTGTTACTTTTTAATACATTGCAATAATTAATGCAAAGAGGAGATAGACATCAATTTTTTCTCGCATGCAATTTCTCTCATTTAATAATTTGATGATATAAATTTTGACTTACCAGTACTGTCACCATGATCTTTGGTGATGTAACTGACGTTGTCTAGGCTGAACGCGTGATTCTTGTTGCTGAAGTCCAATTGTAAATCATTGCAACTGTCGTTGTCATCGACCGGCACGCTCATTTGAAGTACCTGCGTCTCGTACTCCTTCAAATTCGGTTCCACATAGACGGGGTCATAACGCGGCATTACATACATGCGTTGCATACGCTCCTTGTACGCTTTGTACCTAACAAACGTCAACGAGAATTCGTGAGGAAATTTCTCAAAGGAAACTCATGTAAACACCCGGAAAGATTATTTTATGTCCGCAACGTGGAAATAACAAGTTTTCACGAAGATTGTCAGAGCGGAAATTGCAATTAAAACTAATAGAGATAATAAAGAGTAGAATTTGCATTGCTCGCACCCGACGAGTCAAATGAATATTTATACTCGCGAAGTAACTCTCTCATACGACTCGTATAATAACGGATGAGGATCGTAATAATAGCTAAGATTGTGTTTAGAGCGATACGTACGTAATAATTAATACAACTGTGTATGAATATAACAATTTTTGTTTCTACCGAATGAAAGCATGCAAGAAGCGCTCGGAAACAGCAATCTACAATGCAATCTACAATGCAAGAACCCGAAAGTAAATTATTTTTTAAAAAGCAAAGAGGAATCTATAATACAAGCTCAAAAATTTGAAAGTAAATTATTTTTAAAAAATATTTGTAAGATATTTAATATTATACACATATATATTAATAAATTAATGTATATATATTTCTCCGCAATTAATTTTTTTTCTTCATATATTAAAAAATATTTAATCATATTTAATGTGTAATATTGTTTTGATATTCTAGCCTCATGATTAAATTTTTTTATATGTGTTCGAATATATAACTTAATAATATTAATAATATTTAATATTTTTTAATTATATTCCTATACTTTACAACTTTATGATTAAATCTTTTCAGATGCTTGGCGATGTATTTAATGTTATTAGCGAAATCTTGTAACGATTCCAGCATTAAAATGACGTACGAGTAACTTACTTGGACCAAGAGATGCAAATGTAGATGATGCCGGCAATACCGAGGATCAGGATTACGCAAGCGATGATGATCAGCGCGTATGGGAATACTTCGCCGCTGAACGCGACCGCGGTTTGTGTTCGCACCGGTTCAATTGGCATTACAGGTGCATGAATGTCGATAGCGTTCGCTCGTACTAGCGTAGATACGTCGAATGTGATATTCGACATGGCCGACTTGTCCATAATTGATCTGTCAAACATTCGGCGCTTTTAATATTTACTCATGGTCAAATGTCACAATATAATTGAACGTCACAATTAATCTTTCAATGTTCGCGTGGGAAATGCTTGTTCTTAACATTCAATTTCATTGCGGATAAATTATTCGTATTTAATCAACTAAATTCGTATGCAATCAACTAAATTTAGAAAACTAGCTTTCTGATAAACTATCGTAAAACTTAATTATTTGTACTCCTTGAAAACTATTAATATAAATTTTATTAGAAAAATAGATTTAAGGAAAAAATTTTGTCGCTAACAGTTATAATTTATTAATTATCGCGAAATTAATGTCGTAAAAATATTTACAGTAACGTTTATAAATTCCGTTGTACGTTATTACTAATTTTGTAAAAAACTTTAAATTATAAAAGATTTTATTAAAAAAGTGACAAAATAGTATTTATAAAAACATCTAAAAATATGCAAAATTGCGTTGATGTATTGAAATGTGCATTTTGTATATGCAACGTACACTGCAAGTAATAGCAGTTACGTAATACTGTTCCGTAAATAACTGTGAAATAACCGCTTTAGCGTGCATAATTACAAAGACGAAGAATCTAAAGTGCCGTTACAATAAGAAGACCTCAGCATAATCTTTTCATTACTATAAAAATCTTAAGGAAGAAATTTGCTTTAATGATTTCTAAGAAATTTGATGTGTATTTTATTTGTAAAATTTTCTAAACTTTTTTTTTAGTTATTATACATATTTTAGTACGTACCTCTGCACTGTGGTGCTGTTTCTACTGAGTATGACCTCGGTGTCCGGGTCGACAGCGTAGAACCACACGTCCGAATCCTGCGTGAACGTTTCCACGGAGTCTTTTTTCGTCAGAATTTTTCTCACCGCGACTCTATCGATGCCGATCAGCAGGCCGCTCTTCTGCTCGATTATATTCGCTATCTTGCCGGCCTCCTTCTGCAGCGCATCCGGCGACGCGTCCTGCACCTCCAGGATCATGAGATTCTCCTCTTCGATCAGATTAACGATTACCGGTGCAACGATCGTATTGTAATTATCGGTCGAGTTGGGATTATCCCGCACGCGAACGTCGAATTTGAAGGGGAGCTCGGATGAATCAACGTGATCGAACGTCACCGTCGTTCTAATTATACCGGTGGAACTGTCGATAGCAAAGTGATCGGATCCCCGTCCCTCCAGGATCTTGTACTCCAATTTACCGAACTTGCCGTTGTCCTTGTCGTGAGCCTTTACTTGTATAACGGTAGACGAGAATTGCGCGGTGCGCGGAATCGCTGCAAAGTAACGTCCCCTCGTGAGCTTCTGATTCACCTCCGGGAAGATAAATTCTGGCTTGTTGTCGTTTACATCCAGCACTTGAATTTTTACCTGTGATCAAGCGCGTTCAATCGTTATCAGAGACAAAATAAATTTTGATAATTTTGTTGCAACTTTTTAAAAAATTCCAATATTGTTTTTCTTTACATGTTTATCTATCGTTTTATAAAATCCTAAATCCATAAAATTACAAAAACAAGAAAGAAAACAAGATAGAAATAGCTTGTTTTAGAATTTTGTTTTTTGTGCATCTGAAATAATATTATCCAAATTGCATTTACAAAAAAAAATAACTTGATCTTTTATTTATATCTCATGTTTTTTAATCTTTTCATCTCTGATGCGTTCTTATGTGTCATATGATTTCATCCTATTGATAAATATTCATGTATTTAAGCATTAAAACGAAAATGTTTTATTATACGACAAGATTCGAGAATCTTGTCGTAAAATCATCGTGACTCACCATCGTCGTATTTCTGCCAGAGCTTAATAAGCCCGAGAGCGATTCTAACTTGATCTTAATCTGGTAAGACTCCGTCGTCTCATAATCCAACGCGCCTTTTTTCAGCCTCAGCGCGCAATTCCGTTCCTCCGTGACATTTGCTTCGAACAGGCCGGCCTCATTGCCGCTATAAATCTCGCATCTGAGCGGCGTAGTGTCATGCGCGTGACTGTTGATGATAGTGATTATCTTTATTAGCGTATTGTCACCAGCGTCCTCGGGCACTTCGACGTTGTACGAGTTCTCGGCGAAGCCCAAACCGATTTCGGGCGGCACTGTTGCAACGTGACGTACATAGACCGGCACAGTCGTCACGGATGACAATTGCGGGTCTCCCATATCGTATGCGCGTACGTCAACCTGTCGCAAAAGAAAGGAATGGCCGTGTCGTTGAGATGAATTGAGGATAGCGAAGCATCTTTGAATTACGCAAGCAGGATCGCTTACCTGATACTCGGAGTCAGTTTCTTTGCGTAAGTCGTCTCGTATTCGAAGTACGCCGGTGTCGGGATCGATTACGAAATACTTGCTAGCGATACCACGGCCAATAATCTCGTATCGAACCTGCCGAACATCGGTGAAAATTGCCAGAGACTCGACGAGAAAAAATTAAGAGATGTACATATATGAGAAAAGTATAGATCCTACCTGATTCCCCGGTGCTGTTCCGTCAGAATCCGCAGCCGTGAGATTAATCACGGTCGTTCCTATAGGAACATCGTCGTCCAGTGTAATGGGACGCGGTACCGACGTAAATACCGGTGGAATGTCGTTCACGTCCTGTCACGATACATTTAGAATCGTTATAAATAGTTATTAGCAGCCCCCGCGTAATAAGATATACTTGTACTAGAAGTAATCAAATAGCACGTAGATGATAGAACGATCGTCGCGTTTGTGATGTTAATACGCTCAGTGCAAACCGGTTCCGTACACTGATTCTATATAAGTTAATTCGTAAGATTACGACAGATAAATAACTTTAGTTTTGATATTTCAATTACAGATTTTTACACAGAGTAATAAATCCAAAAAAATATCCAAAAAATAGTTGTAAGAGGTAGATGCATTTTACTCGCACACGCATTTATTTGATAAAGATCTTCTAAATTATTCATTATAAGAAATTTATTTTCTCACGTTTTTCGTAACTGCGCTTTTTATACGACAAATAAATAACAACTAGCTATCTCTCCCTCTTTGTAATTATGTGGTCTGTGAAAGTGGTGCACTACATGATACGCTGATGAACACGACATAGTAAATCAATGGATAGTGAAAATTCACTGAGACTCGGGTTTCACTGGTGAAAAATACCTGAACATTAACAACAACGCGAGTGGTTGAGCCAGGTAAATCGCTGGTGTTCTCCTCGGTTCCTACTATGAGAACGTGCTGATTCTGGCTCTCGTAATCGAGACCGCGAATAGTTTTTATGACTCCGGTCTTCGGGTCTATGCTGAAGAGTTCGGTATCTCCTTGCTTGATCATGTATGTAATTTGCTTCTTTGTGTCCGGATCATCGGCCTAGAAATGATCGCGTTAGCTTTAAAGCCGAGTAAGACCGCACCATCCTTTCCACCTCATGAGATGGGAATCATCGACGACGTGAGTAACGCGAAATATCTTTCGAGGGTTTGAAAGTTGAGAATGGCATAGGTCTCCCGATAACTTATTCGATAAATTTTCAAAATTCCCCAAATAAATTTCCGAACGACATTATCGATGAAATTACATCTCGTATGATTATAATTTATCACAAAACTAATTTTATATCTTTCTATGTATTAAACGAGGCAGCGGAGGCGTTTTATCTCGAGACAAACATTTCAAACTGGGATTTATGTCACGTTGTACGACTTTCGATTCTCGTTAGGTCGCAAGTCCATATGGATTAATGTCAATAAATCAATTAATAGTTTCTAATCGCTCTTATATCGCACTTTACACTTCTTGTAATCGAGGACACGAGCTATTATTATTATTATTAGTATTATTATTATTGATTTGGCATGCGACTCACCGTGACTTGAATCACATTATAGTCAGGCACGTTTTCCTTGACACGTGCCTCATAACTGCTTTGGCGAAAGAGTGGAACCTCGTCCTCGACATCTATGACTTTCACTGTGACAGTCGCAGTTGCCAAGCGATAATCGGGGGCTCCATCCCTCGCAGTCACCACGAATTTATATTCCTACGCAATTAACGTAAATACGTACGTAAAATAGAAGCAAATTGTGAAGAGGGATATATTATTATAATTTTGAATTCACATTTTAATTGATTCAAAAATTTTAATGCAACGATAGAAATATTCTCGGAACAATTTTGATAAATAATTAAAACTCAAAATCACGTCAGAGATTTTTGCCGTATTTTACATATTATAAAATTATAATCGAACTCTCTGTTATTACACATGCATTTTCGCAAATGAAAATTGTACGAACTTAAGCTTAAATGCATTTTTCCTTTGTCTCAATACACACGATTGTAATTTAACCGTAATATCATCCTCGCAATTCGAGAATAAATTTAAATCGTTTCCGTTGTAAGGCTAATTCTGGAACTGTAATCACGCTTCGCAACTTTCGTAAAACGGAAGAGCATTCCCGGAAGATTCGAGCTAGATAGCTGCGCTGGTAATGAATCTTAATAAGCACTGCGTGTCATGTAATGCAGCCTTTTACAAGTACAAACAGAAGGCAAAAACTCACATTGACTTTTAGATACTCTCTCTCCAGAGAATTCCAACATAATTAAACATTTACAATTTCCTAGCTTGAAATATCTCGACACGTGTTTTCCAATAAAAAAAATTTGTTATAATAAATGATAAAAATATAATTAATAAATGATAAAATATAATTTCACATTAAAATATACTTATTAAAAGCTAAAGTCACACATCAGAGATTTTTGTTGTATTTTACATATTATAATAATAATTAATATTTAGAAAGAAACTTTCTTCTTAAATTTCACTAACTTCATTTCACTAGTTTAGATATACATTCTGTCTGTTCTTTTATTATATTAATTAAGTACAGAACATATGCAATGTCACAATATTTGCTAATCATTTATCAGTTAATTTTTCCCAGTATTCAGAAAATTATTGCAGAAGTAGTTGCAAGACCATTTTTTAAGTACGAAAATCAAAAACAACAAAAATTACTCACATTATTCTGCTCGTAATCCAACACTATTTTTGTCAGAACATCACCAGTTTCGGGATCCACAATGAAAGGAATGTCATCGGGTGCAAAGTAAGTGATCTCAGCGTTGATGCCTTCATCGGCATCTTCGGCGTGTACACGGCCGATCAATTTACGTGCTTCGCCTTCTTTGACGGAAAATTCATAAGGGAGATCCATAAATTCAGGATTCTTATCGTTGATATCAGTAACCATGATATTGACAGTCGCGGTGCTGAAGAGACCGCCGGTATCCTCAGCTTTTATCAACTGAACCAAAAATATCACAGCGAGGATTAATATTCCGCTTTCATATAATTTTTCAATTTTGATATGAAATGCGATAAAAAAGAATTTTATTTTCATATTAATAAGATTTTTGAAAAATCAAATATAAGAGAAAAATGTGGGTTACAAATTTAAAAAAAAATATGAATTTTTAAGAAAACATATGAGGTTGATAGGAAAATTTTTTCATATTTTTTGATATTTAAAAACATGCAGAAAATGAAATTGCTTTCTTACTAACCAAATGTTTATAAAACTGTACTTAAAATTAACATGCTACTTTAATTTGAATAGTTACTCGTTTATAAGTGGAGAAGCAGAGAGAGTAACTGATGTTTTTTCTAGATTATTCTAGATTAGATAAAAATTACTGGAGAGCAGCGTAAAGCGAGAAGTGCATTGACTTGTAACAGAGGCAAGTAGTAGGAAGTGTAGGAAGTTTGTGTTGCGATGTTCATGAGCGGTTGACGATATTGACTCACCAACTGATATCGGGTCAAGTCTTCCCTATCCAGCTTCCTTATAACGGTAATAACGCCTGATTTGTCGCCGATTGCAAACTGGCGCAAGTCATTCCCCGATACTATCGAATACGATACCGGATCGTTTTCTGGGTCAATGGCCTGTACAACGATACATTAATAAGCCTATTATCGATATAAATATTTAACGAACCCTTGTAGATACAATACTTAATAAATAATAATAAATTCGAAAAATTTCGAATCAAACAATCTCTTACATTTAAAAACGAAAATGTGAATTTATAAATAAATTGATGTAAAAGAGGAAACGTAGAAACGAAATGATTTTAACATGATGGAAAAATAACAAAAGATATGTCGAGCAAATATATTATTTCTATCGCAATAGTTAGAATTTAAAATAACAGGCAAGAGAGGAAGAGAAATAAAAAGAGACATTATCGGCAATACTCACAGTGATAGTGGCAACCGTAGAATTGATGGATGCCCCTTCGCTGACTTGCACTTCGTACACCGGCTGCTGGAACACGGGGCTTCTGGTGTTGGGTCCAGGAATGACGTTCACCTCGACGATCGTCTGTGAATACCTGCCACCTTTGTCAGTGGCCTGCACGGTGATGCTATATTGCTCGCCAGCGTTCAATTTCCTCACGGATTCGATAACTCCGGTCTTTGGATCTATCTTGAATTTGTGCAAACCGTTGTTCGAAACATGATAGATACTGTACGTTATCTCAGCGTTCTCTCCTTCATCATTATCCGTAGCTTCCACCTACGGGAGAATTGAAATTAATTTATCTCCTCTTCTTCTGTAGCTCGTACCTTTAAACGTGATAAAGAGCCATGAAGCATTCATAAGCGGTAATCAATAATTTGATGAGAGAGATATGAGCAAACATAGAAGTGGTAACTATTACTACTAAATTAAAAGAGATGACCAGCCACCTTTGCCACTTGTTTTTTCGTTTCTCCAGCTTGAAGGGTGATTGGTGCCATCATGGGAAGCAGAGGCGCATTATCATTAACATCATTCAACGTCACGACAAACGACAGAGGTGACGACGCGGCCACACCCGTTTTTTCCCGGGCGACTACTTGAAAGCGGAAACGGCCGGGACTCGGGGGATCTCGGTCCAGATTCTCCTCGTTGACGACAAGAACGCCGGACGGATCGATCGCGAAGAAATTCGTAGTTAATTCGAAGGTATACGCCGGTTTCGGGTCGTCCGGTCCCTAGATACGACACGATTATTTTATAAGAGAACGAAAACGAGAATTGGAAATAAATAATATTACTGATCGATGGATGGAGTTAACCATCGAATCAGCTAACAATAGAGAAAACGATTCACATTTCGATTCACATTTCGATCACGCTTCGTTAAGCGAAAATCGATAGAATCTACATTTAGTTGGGCTTACCAGATCAGCATCCGACACGGTGAGCACAATAGGATTATCGCTTTCATCGATGACCTTTGTGCCGATCGGAGCGTTCTCGTCGACGAAACCTTCGATACTTGACGCCGTTATAACGGGTGGATTGCTGTCAACCGGTTTGACAGTGATTGTTAATTTCGCGGTAGCCGAACGTTTCGCTTCTAACATTTCAACCGCCTTAAAAGAAAAAATCAAACAAATGACAAATTTATTGCGAGATACACTTAAAGCTTAAAACGCGAAACGTAATTGCACATATAAAAAAATTTTGCCTTTTTATTAAATAAAAGAAAAACATTAATTGCAATTATAAAACATCTACTTTAAACAATTGTTTAAATTTTATTATATTTTCTACCACTACTTTTACATACAATATTCATGAGTAAAATTGTTTAAACATTTTCTTAAATATAACAGGAAAATATAACAGTGATGTTTACCTTAATGATTATATCAAACTTCTTGGTTACCGTCGTGTCGACGGCTTTTATTTGCTTCACCGCCCCAGTATGAGGATTGATCTCGAAGAAATCTCGATAATTTGGCGGATTTCCGCTGAGGAAAGAATAGTAGATCGGCGCGTTTATGCTGTCCATGTCGACTGCCTGGATTTTCTCGGGCGAGATATTGAGTATGCCGGATAATACTCCGCTCGATACCTGATGGAGGAAAATAGAGAATCGCGCTTACAGAACCGGTTGGATGATTTATTGATAACGCGAATTTGAGCGGCGAGATATTTGCGAACGATTAGGCGTATATAGTCTCTCGATTACATTTAAATTTTCTGATAAATTTACATTGAGATTGGCAGAGAACACAGACCGTTAAAATCATTCTCGCTATTAATACACTCGAACCGAAAAGCCGGACACTTTGGTTTATAGCCGATTTACATACCGATGCGGAATATTCCGGATTAATGCAAGCACCGTCTAAAAGCATGCATCCTTGGTAAATAAAGGACGGATCCTGATCATCACCGTCCCGTATATTCACTGTCAACGTGGTCGTGGACGTGAATCTCTCGGATACATTCCTCGCACGATCCTGCAAGGAAACAATTTGTAACGTCAAGTGACATGATAAATCGAAATGAATATGAATCGACATTCTAAACAGCGTTTCAGACAAAATTTTAGCTATACGAAATACGAAACAACGAGCATTTTATATTCTATGCTATAATGTTATACCTTATTTTATCTTAACACATGTTAAATATTAAATGAAAATTATAAGATGTTGTTGTTTTAATTTTGCCATTTTAATATTTTGATATTATATTTTATTATACATTTTATGACTTCTTATTTTATTAAAATTATAACTATAACAACTCTAATCAAAACTATATTCATAATCATATCCCTATCATAATATAATTAATTTATTATTTATTATTTTATTATAGTTATAATAAAAACCTATTAATTATTCTTTTGATAATTAGCTGTAAAAAATAATTCTTTTTTATTCTATACTTAAAATGATCTCTCCTTTTAATTCATATACTCGTATATATTACTATTATACATATTATATTATTACAATATATATTAGTACAATATGTCATATTTTTTCTGTGATTTTATGGAAAATAATGGAAAAAAAGGACATGAAATATGGATGAAAGTATCGGCCTTTTTCACAACTCATAAATAAATGATACATGGAAACGGACTGCGATAATATGCCATTAATCTTTCGATTTTGATGCGTCACGTTTATATTGACATTTTCAATAGTTGCTATACGAAGAGAAGTGAATATCCGTTTCCTTTTTCACGTTCTCACACTATAGTTGGATCATACCAGTTCTATCATCACTTGAGGAGAAGTCTCTGTCCCTTTCTCCTCATCTCCTGTTCTCTTCTGCGACCTTATTTACGCAATAACGGGTTCGGACTACTTACGAGGTGCTCTAAATAAAACTCACCGTTACTATAACTTTTCTTGTACAAATAAGATTACGAGGAGGACAATATCTTTCAATAGCACTGCATAAAACATAAGCTTTACAGATTGTTCATATTGCATTAGGACTTATAAATGTAAATTATTCCATTAGTTGAACAATGTGTGCTACTTTTTGCGGCATGCAAAATGTTCCATAAATTTCGTCTTTTAATAAAACCACGCATTATTCTCCGCAACTTGCTAAAGCACGCTGAGAAAACATATCCTAGCATCTCTCAAAATTATTCTCATATACGAGTTTTCATATACGAGAAATGAAAAGCGAATGGAGTTAATATTTTTATGCAGTCTGTGTTATAAGACTGTGTTATAAGATTTAACATTTGACACAAGTTGAAAACTTAAGAGTGAAATTTCTATGAAAACGTCGAAAGCGAAAACATTTATATATTTTACATATAAATCATCGCCGGTGCATCGATGCAGAACGTTATCCCTCGGAGCAATATCTGAGAGCAGAAGTCGGTCATTTGTTCCACATAATATTCAAATGAGCCACACCTGCTGCAGCATGGGATTGTAGATGGGGAGCGGCGGCTTAAACCGAGAGGGAGAGAAATCGATCGCGTCCTCGACTCGGGGAGATTCGTTGCGATTATGGGAGACCCGCTTTATATCTCGTAGCTGGGGAAACCAATGAGAGAGAGAAAGAAAGAGAAAGAATCGAGCGAGAAATAACTATTACCCTTGACCACGGTGCGCGCACGGCCACGGCCGCATCCCGTATGCCAATACGTAATAATGGGCGTTGGTGCATCCATTTGCCTTTTTTTCATTTCGTCTCGCTTACGGTCACTCACTGTCAGGGATCATTTAATGACATCGTGTTGCCGGCGCAGCCCCCAGATGCAATCGCAATTTTTTCTTCCGACGATGACGCGAAATTGCGCGTTCATCTATGATCGGTTGCGCAATTTCGAACATGCGCAAAATTGCAGCGACAGCGACGACGAGCAGCTGTGTCTGTGCGATAGATATGCGTTTCGAACTTGAGCATAGCGAGCACGGATAATGCTCTGCCGCACATTCGTCTCAAAGTCTATTACAAGTGGAAGATCCAGTCTGTGCGACCCCGGATAATGTCCCGTGTATTGACTACAGCTGTTGCTTCGAATTAAATTTTAGCAGAAAGACGGCGATAGCCAGAAAATGTTATGCATTCTCAAGTTAAATAAAAAATTCTCAAGTTAAATAAAATTCGCTACAAGAGATGAGATCGATAAATAAAAAGAATCATTTTAATTTTTCAAAGTAGAATTATCAAATCAAACTTTAATCGGAAATATCGCGATTTGATATTATCTATTTTTTTTTGCCAGGATAATTGAACTGAAATAACATTGCGAGCTTATATAATGATACAGCACAATCAGAATAACGGTATAATAACTTAATAGAATCGATTCCGAGAAGGAGTCACTTAAAGTGACGGTTAACTATCGCTTACAAGAAGCTATGACCGCAGGCGGCTCTAAAATTAACAAGGTTCCAGGATAGAAACCATCTATTGTATCCTAGCGTGAAGCCCTTAGAGATGTGAAATCCTCGCGAAAGACCTTTCCCAAATAATGGCTGCTCATTCCAGTCTAGCCTAAGGAAAATATTTATTCAACAAGGTCCTTGTGCCGGAAAGATTCAAATATTCGTTCTCAATTTACCTTAGAATTGCTTCCGCCTACGATCAGAGAGATATTGAATAAAATCCCGAAAATACAATCAAATCATAAATCAAACATTAATAAAATATTAATATAATCAAACATTAATAAAATATTAATCGAGAGACGTGTCCTCGGTTAAGTTGTCACGCTACCATTAAAAGATCCGAACGCGTGATAAAAATAAAATAGAGAAACTTCGAATCGTGAAGAGAAGTTGACTCTCGACTGTCCAAACGATTCACTCACCGTTGACAAATCGCCGACATTGTCGTCGCCGACACTCGAACTGACGCGTATTAAAGCGACAGCCAAAAACGCTTTTATCGAACCGAGGAGCTCCATTGTCGGGCTTACGATGAGTCACGTTCCATCGATGGTGCGTCTCGAATCCGAGTCATGTTCTCGCATCCTCATTTAGAGGAACACGTCGCCGTTGTCGAGAATTAATCGATTAAAATCGTCCGACAGTTGTCGAGACCTATTCGGCGAGATACCTCGTGAAATTCCAAGGATTAGCGCGTAATAAAGTGCGGTAAGGCGTATCCCAATTTGTCGTCCCACGTGCAATTCCTGCGTCGATCGTCGAGTTGCGCACGAGTCCTTTTAATGCGAGCCGTTAAGTTACGAACGAGAACCTATATAAATCATGCCCTTTAATCGGCGCGAACGACATATCTCTTCAACTCGTTCCCTTAGACCGCTTGAATTAAATTAAGCGCCCATCGAGAAACCGAAAGGTTGGCGATTAAATATTTCCAACGATGCATCATTAATGTATGAAATATTTTATGTATATAAAAATAATCTAGGCATTATAAATTTAAAACGTCGCGAGAATTTTTCATACATAAATTTTATATTCGCGACAATTTTTCTTTTTCTAAGATAATAATCTTTACATCGATAAAAATGTCTCGCCAACATTTCCGTCTAACATTGCGTGTTTTCCATTTCATCTGCATGTTCTTTTAGCGCGTCTTTCATTACCAAAAGCTCTTTATAAATAGCGAAAGCTTTACACACGTCGATCAGCACAATGCTATTGTCGCGCGATGAAAGCAAGGAGAGGAGCATAAATCCGACGTTTCGTATAAACGACTTGATCGGCGCGCGCGATCAAGTCGTGCAAGTTATATGTATTTCGACGAGGCAACGTCTGCGTCATCGCGCGAATCGGTCGGTGAGGAGATTTACGTAACGGCAGATTATTTGCGTCGGCATCGGAAACCTAAGCAATGGCGCGGAATATTGCATCGAGGGATCATTTTCGCGCTCATCGGCAAATCGCCGTCTTATCCGCCTACGCGCGCGGATCGATCATGCGTGCGGATCGGCCACGAAATCGTCACCCCCGGCGGTTTTCTCTTGCGCGCGATCTACATACGTTGCTCTTTCCTGCCCCGCGGGACGCGGAACTGAATCCTGCGTAAAATTTTACGGAGAATCTTCAGTCTCGATGTCCTATCGCGACCGAGTCACACTGATATTCGCGTTGCTGCGGAAGCAAGAGTGATCTATAATCAACGTTTCGCGACGCGCGCTTTCCACCGCGAAGGATTACGAAGAGTTCCGGAAGTTCCAGGTCGCTTCCTCTGCAGACTGTCATTTATTACGTTCATTCGAAAAGCGTAATAGACTTTTATTTCGCTGCTATTAATCTTCAATTTTCCGCGACGTTTATCTTAATCAGATTTTCCAAATACGCTAAGGGAATCCTTCTTGCGATAAAGTATAAATATCCCAATGGTGAAATTGAAATATCGATGTTGCGTTCTCTATACTCCGTTCTACACTCGTCCCGGATTTGCCGAGGACTCTTCCACCCACGCCGATGCCAACGCACTCCGAGGAAGCGCCTTGCGGCCGCGTTTTAACCGTTTGCTTGACAAATGTCGGCGTATTTCTCTTCCTAACGCTCGTCATTAATCTCCCGACGTGGATGAAAGAATTCGCGCACGAGTGAACCGTTATTGTGCGTACAGTGCCACAGTTACGTGTTACTGTGCGAGAAAACGTTTTATTCTTTCAACGCGTTCATAGAACGCCATTAAAGAAGCCTCTTGATGGCGTAATAACCGACCGCAGCGCTGTTGCCTCGCTTGTATTGTGCATTTTATTTTAATTAAGTGTACATTCTACGATTTATTTCCGACATTAAATACGATTACGCGAATTATGCTCCGTGAGGAGAAAAATTTGTTCGCGGTATGACGTAACGCTCGGAGGCTCGTAGTGTCGCGATACGAGCGAAAACCACGCACGTTGATTCCGCTGATTCATATTTTTCTCGGTGAATATTTACGATCGACTATATTTTCGCACTGCCACGATGATTGAAATCTTCGCATCCGATACACCATTGACACTCGCGCTATCTTCATGGCCGATCGGTCGGCGCAATCGTGCCGTATTCCATCTCGCGATCACTCATGACGGAAGGATTCGCCGCGCGCGTTACACGCGGAATTGGCCACGTCGGCACTCTGCTCACGAGAAAATCGAAATTCCGTGCTTGGGTTACACGCGTCGCAAGCCGAACGGTGACTAATGCCGCGATTCTCCTACCTCACGTACATCGTAGCTCGCGTGCGGCATGCATCGCTGCATATAAGTCTCGTCCGCTGCCCACCTTGCGTAGTCCTCCGAGCCGCGGAGGAGCTATCTACCTGGCGGCACCTGGGTAATTTCCTTTGTTAGCCGGGCCCACGACGACGTTTGCGCGAAACTGTGCCATTCTCGTAGATAAGATGAACGAGGACACAGTCGAGGACATTATAACGCGTTGAACGACGCGAGGAAAAGTCCATATTATTTTTCAATGATATTTATAAAACTTCAAATTCTAATTTTCGCAAAAAACCGCCGATATTTATTATTAATATATATATATATATATATATATATATATATATAATATATAATAAATATAATAAATATATATAATATTTTTTATTAATATATATATGTAAATATATTTAATTTATTTAAGAATGTTATCTCTTTTTTAATAATCAACATTGCAGATAATATCTTTAGATATCGAATTGATCGATACTCTATAAATAATAATTTTTGCCGTGTTTTAATGAATATTAAAAAATTAAAAAATTTTATATTAAAGAATATTAATTATACTATGAATCGCGACGTAAAAAAAAGCTTCGCGAAAAAATTTTAATTACAAAGTTCAATGCACTTGAAGTTATAGCCATAATCATTATTATTTAATAAAACTTTCATGTAATATAACTCTCATGAACTATTCTATATATTAACAATGCTTCTTCTCTACAAGCAAATAATGAAATGTATGTTAATGCGTTAGTATTTGACGGCGAAATTTTACCATTGTGATGTGATGATCCTATATCAGAGGCAACTTGTTGATTTGATTTCGCAGTGCCTTGTTCATATGCAAATATAAGTACTCGTGTAGAGAGTAATTCTAAAATGCGAACGTGCATGACCATCGAACGTGACAATCGCGACGGCATAAGTGCCGCCATAAGAGTAAATATAGGCAATAGGCTTATTGAACAATTATTAAGTATTGTTCTCCGCTATGGGTGCGCGGGATGCGCGATGCGGACTGACATTTTATATTGCTTCCCGATTATATTATCATACCGAAAGAGACCGTGTTGCAACGTAGGTAGCACATTACGTTGCATTGCACGATACCGATTACGCTCTATGACGATTCGTCACGGCGATCGAACAATCACCGCATGATAGCGTGGGCTTTTAATGAATATGCGGTATTCGCTAATAAGCATCTCGCTTTCACTTGCATAAAATGAGATTACAGGACCATTAACATCTACGTCGTCTGTGTGTGTAGGTGTATGTATTTACTGCTCCTAATTATATTCATCACAATGCCACTTTTATTTCTCTCCCTCTAAAATTTTCGCTTTAATCCTTCGCTCGTAATTAAAATGTTTCATTTATAATTAGAATCGCTCTCTTTTTAGGATTTTTCATAATCAAATATGATTTTTTAAATATAATCGCTGGATTTATCTTTTATGTTAATCGTATAATAATTATTAAATTGATGCGTTAATTTGATAAATGAGCCAGGCCATGTAGCAATATTTTTATTGAGTCATTTTATCAGAAAATCCAAATTATACGGACGGTAAGTGTCGCGATGTCGACCACCGCGTGTCCCAGACATGAAAAGCGCAATTTACGAGTTCTAATCCGTCTATAGCGGGCTCACTGTGCAACTACCTGCACGAATCGAACAATGTCGACTTTAGCGATATGCAAATAGTTACAAGCTACAAGACTTGGAGAATCAGCGGGCGAATGTGCCGAACGGTTAATACCTTACGGTACCACGAACGATACGTTACCGTATCGTGTACCAAATGTTATTCCGTACCGATATTACCGTTACACACCGATCCTTTCGTTATTTCGCTGAGTTTGCGCCGAGAGATTGCGCGAAAACTTTTCGCTCTTAATCCAGCGATTGTCTCGATTATCTTTATTATCTGTTATTGAATCTAATATATGTCCATTGAACAGCTATTGTATAAGATATATAGTGTACATATTTATTGTACTTATCTATTTGAACTTCTTAACTAGCTTGGACAATTGCTTTGAAATTTCATTAAACACAAAATCAATTTTTATTATCCTCATTTCTCTTAATTTATAAAAGTGCCTGAACTTTTAATTGCTTGTTATTTAAAAGCTGTTAACTTTCTCAGTACTTTTCTTAACTGAATTAAAATTAATTAAAAAATTTCAGACAAAAAATTGGAGTAATTTAAAATAATTTCAAAATTTATATATTTTTCTCGACTATTCGCGATATTCGTACGTCTTCATATTTTTAAAATACCACACATACCTGTAGACACACGCGATTGATACGTAAAAATAATTAATTACTTAAATTAGAATTACGTAGATTATCTAAGCTGGATGCGTAACTATAATTAACGACTTGTCCGTACGCTGTTTGTGCAACTTGTGCGAGACCATAGAATCGATTAATACCATTAAAATCATTAGACGTGAAAAAGGACGAACACGCATCTACCTGACCAGCGTGGTGCCGTCGGGTTGTAATACCGTTTAGCGAATGCACGTCTGCGAGCTTGTACGTATATCAGTTTCTAATCTGCGACAAAACATGCAGGATGCGAAGGTTTCGTACGAGGATCGTGCGCATGTAACGAAGCGTGCACGATGCCTGCGCATATAATTATGCACGCGTGAATATCTCGGAATTACTGCGATATGTTCGCATATGAATTATCCTGAGGTATCCCTTTATGCGGATAATATAAATGAGCGAATTTGGAAATAATTGCTATAACGGGATATGTTTACATTGTATACATTTCAACTCATCGACCCGGTTTCTCACGAGAATAGACAGAGGCTGAATTATATCGCGCACCAGGTACCGCAAGCATTAATAAAATAAATCTTTACTAAAGATCCATTTTATAAGTTCTCTTGCTATAAATTCTCCTCGGTTGAAGTTGTTTTAGATAATCTATATTCGCAATAAACTTTAAGAATTCTACTTAAAATTTTATATGCAGTATCAATATATATACATCCTAATATATATTTTATTTATACACTTCAATTGTTAATATTTTCTGTTATATCACACATAAAATTACAAATAGATTTTTATCGTAAATGTAAATTATAAATTGTCTAAGAAGAATTTTAATTTCAAGTGAATTTTATTCTTTAACACTATTATTTTAACAAAATCAAGTAAGGAATTAAGCAGCATAATTTGCTTTATGAACAAATTCTCAAAAAGGAACTATAGGTTGATCAAATAATACATGATCATCTGACATCCTTTTCTGTACCCTGAAACGAACTCGAAGAGGCCGCAAGAGATTAAAAAGAATTATCGTGTAAAGAAATGTCGCGAAATACAAGTCCTGAACACGTTTTGAAACGAGCGGACCCTCAAGGCTTATACTAATAACACTCGAAAGGACGAGAACCGCCGCGTCAAGAGGTGCGATATGCTAATGCGAATATGGTTTTCCGACAACCGTCGACTGCTTGTTGTGACTCACCGATCGGTCTCTCATCCCTCGGCCCACGCACCTGACCATTGGCTATTCTACATCCTCCTGCCGATTCTCCTTATGGCATTAAATTAAAGAGAGACATGCGCGTTTATAACTGATTACCTTACGCCAACACACGCACATTATAATCGCTAATAAGACAGTCTAAAAATAGTAAATCGATGTTTCAAGAGGCTCGTTAACTTTGCTAAGAATGCTCCAGATCGATGTTACATAATATATTTATTATGTGTATGCGACATTATGCGCTCGACGTCGAGACTTTTCGCAACAGGTGTAAGCGAAAGTTACGTAACATGAATACGTTGATGACGTGGAATATATCCATTTATTTTGTTTGTGGAAGCGTTTTAATTAATATCTCCAATTGATTTATCTTCATTAAAAAATTTATTAATACTTGACAAGTGTTAGACGATTTTGTTCCTCGCAAAATCAATAAACTTTTAGTAAAGATTGAGATGTAATTTTATTTCCGAAATGAATTATATATCGCGATAAAATATTGTCTATCATACTTTTATTATTCTTAATACAAAATTATCATCTTACTCTCGTCGTTTTTCGATATGAATTATTTATATTAAAATACAAAACACGGTAATTTTCTCAGTATACGCCGTTAAATGATTACCGTTAGTGAGTTCCTCGTTATTCATGGAAGAATTTTCTACGGTCGTCGCGCGGGTTTTCAGTTCGATGTCGTGTAATGCAACATATCGTTGACCAACGCTAACTATATGTTCGATTATCATATACTTGACAGATAACATATGCACAATATTACAATGATATACATAACGGGAAAATGGCCAAGAGTTAAAGCAAGATAAGCAAGAATCGACTGACGTTGAGTAAGAGATTGAATTAAAAAATTGGAAATGTTTCTGGATGATAAATTTTGAAAATTAATTTTTCATAGAGAAACAAGATATTTATCATTAATTACTTTTCTCTTTAATAAATGTCTTATATTATGTAAATATCAATGTTCAAAGATAGAGTCTCTGATATTACTTTTCTATTCTATGTTAGAACAACGTTCTTATTTAAGGAGACTATCGATTATGTTTCTCCTTTAGAATCCCGTTAGAATTATTACATTAACCAAGCCTTACGAGCGTAGGTGGTACGTCATTATCTCAGCGCCTACATCACTATCAATATCTTGATCTATCTCAACTTTCATTCGCAATTCCGGAGAGCTGCGATCAATTAACTTGATTAACACAAGATCGAAACTCACCGAGGCCAGGATGGTGACGAGATAACGCTGGGTCCTCTCGTAGTCGAGCGTTCGATTGACCGTGACCTGTCCCTGGTGCGGTAGGTTGATACTGAAATAACCGTATCCGTCGGCGGTGGTGATCCTATTGCGTCCAACGCCTTCGTTGCTGCCGATCCTGCTACCATCGCCCGGTGCGATCGAGTATTCGACGATGCCGTTGACACCAGCATCGGCGTCGACCGCGTCGACGTTCTTGAAGATCGTCGAACCGACCGGAGTGAGCTGAGAGAAAGAGAGGAGAATTATTTTCGATATAATACATAACTCATCCATCTTTCGTCTCAAGGAGAGAAGCGCATCTGGCAAGGGTAAAGAATCGTGGCTTTCCTTCGAGCTTCCAGCTGCGATGAGAAATCGCGGAACGATATATTCCGTCGCGGTTCTCGCGGAATCGAGCGGGATTAAATTTATGCGGCTCGCTTTACGCGATTTCAGGGGAATGTTGGTTAATTGAAGGCCGGAGTCGGGGTCAGACATCAGGATGGTAGTGGTATATACGCCGTCGGGATTAATAATTCGACCGGGAACAGGCCGAGCAGGTTGTCCGCGATGTGCGTGCGAGAAAGGATCTATGGGGTACGGGGCGAGACCTCGTTGGGGATTACGCGAAAATAATTCAGCAGTATTTTGCGCCAGCGAAAGACGTTTCCGATTAATCCGCGGAGATAAGTCGACAACTACCGTGCGGCGCGACTCGCTTCTCGAGTCGAAGCCGACTCGATGCGAGCGATATTCGCGTGCACCTTCGCTTATCTAACGGGATCAAGACTATCGCTTCGAAATAGTGCGTCCAACCCGTGTACCGTCTACCTTTTCAAAGTAGCTCCGTAGTAAAGTAGAAATTATATGATTACACGCGAAAAAGCGAATCCTGCACTAGCAATAAATATTACGATAAAGCTAGCTTTATCTCGATGCAAATAACATACACCTTCGAAAGATGTTCATCTTTTCGCTTTATCCGCAGCGAATATAATGCAGAGCTGAATTTTTATGAGTAATATAATAAATAATATATTTTCTCTCTTTCTTTCTCTTGAGAGATAGAAATAGGTAATTGGTATATTTCTCAAAATTAAAGATAAGCCATAACCATATTCGCATGGAAACACTTCAAGTGGAATATTTCTGGTCATTAGCCATAACCATAATGGCGAGGAAGCCGCCGTTTCTCATTTACTTAATGCAGCTAACTTCCATGAGTTTTTTGATGATGCGACGAAGGAAAAACGCAAAGAGGGGCGGGATTGTCTTGCTTCCGGCGCTTTGCAATCAGCTCCGGAGAGCGATTATCGTCGCGGTGAGTTCCGCTTGTTCTCGCGTATCCACCGCGGTCGTCGCGACGAAACCGGTCGCTCATTGTGGATTAATTAGCTCAAGAAGACATCAAGGGCGAGCCGACGACGATTTCGTGATTTTCATCTCCCGCGGAACTCCCGCAATTATGCACAGGCAGGTGGAGCAAAGGTTTAGCTTAGGTTAGGCACACTCGGAGCTCCGAGACCCGCATGTATTTCGCCTGCAGTTTCCATTCTAAGAACGGACGCCAAGGCGCCATTAATTAGGCGATAATCTCAAACCAGCCGGGATTACCCTCGCGAAATCGTTTCCTTTCTCGCTGAGCTTGGAATTATCGTGGCATGACTCTCAAGCTCTATAACGGCAATTAGCAACTGAACTTTATTCTACCGAATAAGAAAAAGAGAACGAATCGAAGTCGAGCGAACATTTTAATTTTTAGAAAATGTATGTTAATATATTTATGTTAATATATTTTTGGCATCCATTTCATTATTATTCTTTTATATCTATTCGAGTGCGCAAAACTCTCAAGCAAACTGTCCGGTACTAATGCATTGCATTCCAGACGTAACGGTTCATAGATGTAAAAGACGGAAGAATTCGCGGTATGCGTGGCCTCGATCGACGACCGATGTTCCCGCGTTCGCTATAATGTTTAGAATATAGTTCTCGCCAATTTAGCGACGTGACGAATCTACTTTCTTCGAGCATGACTCGATGATAGAGCTTGTGAATAATAAAACGTCCGCATTCGACATACTTTTAATTTCTGTGAAAACTCCGTCACGCGTGAAAGACGTCCGATTTAAAGAAAGCTACGATTATATGACGCAACATTTGGAGAATACAATTATTATTTCTACACGATAATTTTCTAAATGTAACATTTTGTTCTATTCCTATTACATCGTTTAATTTAAGTGTAATCATCAAACTTTCACCGCGTTAACTCTCCAGTTCTCCTCTTAATTTGCATCCGTCATATTTAGACGCATAATTATAACATTCATTATTATAAGTATCTATTTTCAGCCGCGCATGTATATCAACACATATCGCGACTCATTATGGAAATAAATTTATGCCTGCCTGACGTTTATACCGTGAATTAATTCATTAGCCTCGTATTTTCACGCTCGACATTCAATTACTCTGTTAATATGAAACGCATTTTCCGCCGTCCGCACCCTCGTCCGTTACGATATTATAGATACTAAACAATATCAGCAGAAGGAATGTTAATTGAAACTGTTTACGCGATTCGGAAGATGATCCAGCATTATCTCATACACAGAATTCGTAATTACGATATTCAATTATATATAAGGAAATTCTTATAAAGGAAATTATATATAAGGGAATTCTTTTGCAATGAGGATGCTTACTTCTGGCACAGTAGTTTCATACGGGGTGTTAATGAATTTCGGCGCATTATCATTAATGTCGGACACTCTCACAATCACTGGAATCGTTCGTTTCTTGTTGGTCGACTTTACCGTGCAGCTCAACTGAAAAACAAACAAGCATTTATATAGAAGAGCACATATAAACATTTATGTTATATTAATTATTTATTTTAACGCTTAATGTTTCATTTTCATTAAAGAGAAGAAATTAATAATGAATATATTAATAAAAACTTTGCTTTGATCAAATAAAAATAAAAATCAGTGTATTACTACATCAATCATATCTGCATATAAATCAATAATAATAAATTAATAATGAATATATTAATGCACTGGTATTGCTTTGATAAAATAGAGATAAAATCAGTGACTGTATCAATCAAAATATTTACATATAAATCAAACTAGTAGAGGTAATTTTTAAACGCCGATAAATTTAATCGAAAAAGATAAAACGCAAACGTACGAGAGTATTATTAAAATTACGAAAGTATAGTAATTTTGTTGTATCGATTGCACGCTCTCCCAATATCTTTCGTTCGCACAACACAATAATTAATTAATATTGGTCGTCGAATTAATTTATTTTGAACTCAATTATAATCTCTTTCGTCCCCTCTTCTTATAGGTTTTTCCGGAATTGATCGATGGCTCTTCGCATTTCTATCTCAAATTTATTATTTCTATTTGCGTTTCTCGATCTTATTAAATCTTATCGTTCGATCAGTACGAGCTCTTGAAATGCTCGATGCGGTACTCCAGACCTTTCACATTCCTCGCACAATAGTGTCATAAGGTATGTTATACATATACATGTACTTTAGCGAATACCGAACGAGTCATCGAAGAAATGATGTCTTCAAATCGTGCAACAATTACTATATTAATTTCATATAATTTTATATAAAGAATATAAACTAATCAAACATCTTCAAAACAAATACCTCCAAAAAGTGTTTTACAATTAGAGATAATCAGAATTTTTTTTGTCTGTTTCTTCACGTAAGACGGTTATGAAATGTCTTATTTACAACAATGAAGATAAGGAATTTAAGAATCAATGAAATCAAGAATGTGATATAAAAATTCCAAGCAGACGCAAAAAGCAATGTAAAGAATATAAGGAAGTAAAAACTTCTAACGAGTTATCGCAAATAATAATCGAGCAAAAATTATTCTTCTTTTGACGACGCGTGCTGATCATCGATGATCTAGATCCCGTGAGTAATTTTCAACGTAGCAATTTGTCTCATGATAATTTCCGTAATGATTTTATCGCAAAAAAGAGGTTAAATTGTATCTTATAGAGCTCACGAGACAGTAAACTTTCTCAAGCGGACGAGTAGGGAAGAACACGTGCGCGCGGATTGACAACCGCATAGTCACGCGTGCTGCAAACCATCACTTGAGCGACATACGTCTTATATACGACGATGCTCTTCCAATTCTTTACGTGTGAGCTCGAAAGCAATTTCTCACGGCGAAAGCAATACATGATTAGCATCGTGATAAACGTCGTCGCTTTATAACGCATATGACGCATCCATAGATTATTCAAGCCGCATAATGTACGAATACAAGTGCGAAGAAACACATCAAGTCTAGAGTGATCTCAATCTTCGAAGGATGAATCTTAGAAAATATACGAGCGTTTGCGTTGACACAAAAAATATACGCCAAGAATATTTCTATTAAGTGCTTGTACAACAAAAATTTAGACTTGTTTTACTTTTATGTTATTTATTTTATTCTTATAATTGTTGCGAAACTACAACGTTAATTTATTAGCAAAACTTTTCTACAAATTAATTAAATCCCCGGATTAATCCCGTACAAGAGATTAAAGTCTCTTACCTGAAAAACCACGTGCGACAGATTTTCGTCATCTCTGTCCAATGATTCGAGAAGCTGCAGTTTTTTACCATTTAATTTAAAAAGCGGCGGGGATCTTCCTGGGAAGATAAGCTCTAGCATGGTCTCGTTATAAGGGTCACCGGACACCGGTAATTCTTCCGGTATAGTTCTCTGATCGATCGCTGAAAAAGAAAAGACGGCGAAGACGATTACGTGGTGAACATCAATTTATCTTATATCTAGAATGAGAGACGTGCAAATAGATTTCTCAGTAAACCGCAAAATACATAAAATGAGTTTCCCAACTTAAGCATATTTGCTATTTATTTTAAACCACATAAGCAATAAAATGTTATGATAGCATAAAATGGCAATTACTAATAAAAAAAGATTATTTAAAAAAGCGAAAGTTAAAGCTTTTAATGGATATTAATTATGTTCATTGAAATCGTTTTATCGAAATATATATACACACACACAAGAGAAATTATCAAAGGCCATTAATTAATTGTATGACTAACCATTTCAAGAAAATCTTTTATTGCTTGTATAACATGGCTTTCTCATGCAAGGATTAATCCGTCTTTGCTCCGTATAATGAACTCTCTTAGGTGGGCTGATATCAATCTCAGGCAATATCTCATTAGCGAAAGCCAACGGTTTAATTACAAACGTACTGTGACTATTCTAATGTTCCCTTTCTCTAATTTTTCTCGTCGTTGTAATTACTTTCGTATGACCGAACAAATTAAATTTTCTATTACACTATGTCTCTCTCTCTCTCTCTCTCTCTCTCTCTCTCTCTCTCTCTCTCTCATCCCTTAAAACGAATTCAACATTTTGCCATTAAATTCAGACTAAATTAAATTTGTGTTTATTTTAGCTTAATTTGTTATTTTTTAGATTTATCTGTTCAAAACACTGTTGTTAGTGTTTTTAAAAAGCAATAATTTAACTGATATGAAAATGTAAATTCAAAAAACGAAAGATTTTCAATTTAATTCATCCTTATTCTTTCTATATTTTCTGAAATAGCAATTATTCTAAGATTTAATACGTTACATGTAATATATGGAATGAATTTATTATCATCTATTTACAATAACAAAGTCATTTCCCCATCAAAATTGGATCGCTTGGAAACGCTGGAGAAACGTCCGCTAACAAAAACTTCATGCATTATGTATGTCGTATATATGTACGGTATACGTTGGACGAGCAAGAGATAGTAGTTGCTCAGATCTTCGACGTACATGATTTCTCTCGCGGGGATATAGAGGGTCGACACCAACAGCGTGACTGACTCGATTTCGATAATCATCAGTCAATAACGCCCGCATAAATTCTGCATAATGATATCCCAGAATTGTGACATGCGATACAATCTCGAAATTGGGTTCGCTAGTTCGGGAAGCGATTTACTTGTGAATGTGAAGCTTTATATGAACAGTCGCGATCGATACAGCTGAACGCGACGTGGAATAAACCAGGATAATATGGGGTGAGCGAAAACAATTCGCAGTGCGAAAAAATATAACAGTTGAATATAATGGAATATAAAATATCCTGTTTAGAAAACAGCAAGAAACTTCTCTCGGCATAAAGCATTACTGATATAAAAATGCAGTAAATTTGAGAAACAGGAAATTTTTAATTTAACTCATCTTTATTTCTCTAATTTTTCCGGATAATAATGATTATTATTATCCGGATAACAATAATAATATAATAATTATTATTATTCTAAAATTTAATATGTTACGCGTATAACATGTAAAATAATTTATTATTTTTTGGAATAAAAGTTATCATATGAACGAGTACTGAATAAAAGTAATAATGATGTAAAATCAAAATGTTAAACAAGTAATAAAAAAATGCAAAAAATCTGCTATGGCAAATCTGCTACTGGAAAAATGTACCTTTAGCTCTAGTTTTACATTTGCAATTTTAATAAATTATACACGTCATTGTTTTGACGATTTCGATTTCTGGGGGAAACATGCAAATTTTAATAGTTTACAAATATAAAGAAATAAAAATAATAGTTTAGGAAAATATGATATATAAATTTAAATATTTATATATATCTTGTATCTACCATTTCCTCTGCTCTCCTCGATGTCAAGTATGATGTTCGATTGTCCTGATTCCACCTCGCATAAACCTGAAATGTAAAACGTACAAACTTTTTATCTTTAACTTTAATCTATTATTTTTTAGTTTCAATTTATTCATATTTGTACATGCGCAAATAGTTCAATTAAATTGTAAAATGTCAGTCTTTATCATTTTTATATAGATAGCAAATTTTAGAGAGAGAATAGAAGAGAGATGACAAAAATAATATTTTAATATTCTTTGTAATATGACTGTAAAATTGTAATTTTCTTTTATTATAATACATAAAACATTAAAAAAAGATTTCTATAATTATTACCAAGATTTTTATTGTAGTATGTGCGTAATATTTACGTTATGATAACTTTAGAAGATTCATCATATATAGTTTTTGTCTTTTTTTCTTTTTTTCTCTCCTTTATAATATAAAATAGAGCTAAAAATAAGACTAAAAAACAACAATTTAATAATTACTTGAACATACTAACGACACTAATGATATTTACTCTATCAATTATAATTACTTGAAAAGAAATATGTAAGCTATTAATACATAAATGTTTTCACACAATGACAAACTCTCTTTAAAGAATTTACAATTCAACCAATTAGAAAATGCACTCAGCTAATAAAGTAAATTATGACGGCTATATTTTTACAGCAAAGAATGCAATATCATTTTCCGCGCTGTATATTTCTTATTTTGTTTCTTATTTAATTTCAAATACGCTTTACTGATATGAAATCTTAACGCGATATCCAAGATATAATTTAATAAAATTTTAAAAAGAAAACTATCTCTTCAGAACACGAAAGTCCAAATTTTTCTACAAATCATCGCTTCGAATTTATGAAAGAGTCTTAAAAACTATATTCGCAAACAGTTATCTACAGCTCATGACATCCCGTAGAAATCGGTGTCTCTGACGCGAAACTTTCGTGTTTGATTTATTCTTAAAGCCGATCAACACACCTATGCTGTCTCAGACAGATGCAAGAAGTCCATTTGGACCGAAACGTGACGTGCAAAACGCTCGCATTAAGAAAGAAGATTATAGCATCGCGAGCTCGAGGTATATTTTGACGTACATATATGCCAGCTGTTACGAAAGAGACCGGTCAATGGCCGATTTTTGTCACGGCATCCCGACAGACGGATGAATTAATCGAATTTGCAGTCTAATGGATACGAGAACCTAATTACCGATATGCTGTCATTACTTATATGGTCTCGTTACGTTGCAAGATGATTTACAGCGTAACGTGATAGTTTTATCTGTTTTATAAATTTATCTTCTATTTTTTTCCGACTTAATAATATTCTTGTCACGACGATCATATTTGAGTTATATTTACATATGCATTTTTTATATGAATTACAATTAACGGATAGTGAATTAATTAACTCAGAATCCAGAATTAGGGTAATCTAGTTCGCATGACCTTTTCACTCAACTCGCTCGATTTCCGCATATCCATTCGTCATATTGCGAAATCGTGCAATTTCCACGCGAGCATTCGTCATCATCCAGCCAGTATCTGTCCTCATAAAGTTCTTCGCGTAAATCTCCCGAGACAGCCGGCTACTACTGGCAAACCCCGATTATTTCTTCCCACGTAGAAAGTGATCGCGGTATTAGAAAGCGCATATTGCAGAGAACGATCAGTTTATCATGTCGATCGCGACCGATATTTATCGTATTTGCGAGTTGTTTCACGAAGATGCAAAGATTTTATGGGCAGCTAATCTATGTTCTCGATGAGAACAGCTTAGTAGCAATTTGTGCTCTCGTATTGCTTTTCAGCATTTTGATATTCGCGAGTTAAACTTTGTCAAATTGTAACAATTATTTAAAAGTCACGTACAATACGTAATTAAAATAAAAGTATTCTGAAATCTAACAATGTCTCATTATAGAACTGGCTGTACGATCCAAGCTTTCACGGAAACAGATACTAAAAATCAGACCTCCCCGACAAAACTTTGTTTTCGACAAATCCAAATCCATTATCGTGAGAAGATTGTATCCTGGTGCACGTAAAAGTTGGGAAAAGTTTTGCAATATCTGGATTTTCACAAAGTGTGTCATCTCTCGTGTAAAAGAAATATAATACATGCATATAACCTATTAACTAAAATTAATAATATATTATCCATAATTAATTACAATTAATAATGTATATATAATATTTATAAAAAATTAATTCATTCAGACACTTTTTTGCATAGAAAAGTACAGGAAATATCCTCTCGTTAATTGATAAGTGCACCTTTAATGTTACCAACGTCAAACACCACCTTTGGTGAATCACGTTTCTCCGTTTAAACCATCGCCTTAAAACAACCGCACCTATATCTCCCGTCTATAGGCACGCGAATTATCGCGTCGGAATGTATTATATACATTTTATCCCCGATTCTAAAGCCATTCTCTCGAATATATAGCTTATATATGGTCGCAGCTTACATCAAGCTTATCAATCCCTCGTGAAGTGAATCTCCATAAAACGTCGATGCACTTAGAATATTTTTCTTTCGCTTTGCGGTTGTAAAATGAAGATAAAAAAAGGAAAGGAAGGGATAATAATTTATACAATTTATATTTTTCACGATATATATATATATATATATATATATATATATATATATATATATGAAAAATATAAATTTGAGAATATTACGTCGAGTATTCTCGAAATGTGGAAACGTAATTAATGAAATTTAATTACATTGACGATGATAAATTGGAACAAGGATGAATAACAATCGCGAGCAACATGCTCTGAATAAAAGAACTAGAGAAGGACTCGCACGTGCCGTCGATCCCTGAACGTTTCGTATTTATGTCCAGCGACAATAAAACGCACAGCTTACCCATCGGCCGTGACGAAAGTAATTGGCAATCAGCTGAGATAGATTTACGCGTGTGGGAAACCGCGTGGTTTAACCATGACTTTTATGGCGCGCGCGAGCAAATCGTATTCATTTTATTCCAATCCTATTGACTGAAAGGGAACGTTTCTCTTTAAGTTGACGCGTCTCTGAAGAAATTTTAAAGACGATTTTGCATTAAGAGATTGATTTTGATATCAGAATCAGAATAATCAGAGCAAAATGATCGAGTAATGTACTCACCAACTTTGGCGTGAGCGTCCCGAAGATGTAAAATCACGCACAACAGCAAACACCAGACCAAGTGGGTCATTGTTTTTGCCTGCAAAAAAAAACGTCATGTAATTAATACCTAATTAACCTTATTATTATTAATATTTCAATTAAAATGCGCATACAATCGGACAGATCGTAAATTACGGAAGATCGCGAAGGGACTCGGGTGTAATCAGTCGCATCTGGCGAGATCTATTCACCAAAGAGATCATCATATTCATAAGTCATGCTCTCCTAACCGCCATTATTCATGACTATCCTTGGCGGCTTTTAAGTAGCAGCTACTTTACTGAAATCTTGTAAAGTACAAGATGTACTTTCCATCACGAGTTCGCGTTTATTCATCGCGCATTAGCAAGACAGTCGCCTTATTTTAGCAACGAATAATCTCATTGTTCCTTAAACAAAGTGTTATAATACTTTGCTAACTTGTACATACTTTGTTAACTTTATTAACTTTGCTCGAAAAATTTTAATTAAGATTCAACTTTCCTCTCGCATTAATTTCTTTTCTTAACGTCAGTCATTTCTAAATTTTGCTATTTAAAATCAAGATGGAAGGAAATTTTTAATTTAATTTTTTAATTTAATTTAAATTTAATTTTTAAATTTTTTTAAAATTTAATTTAATAATATTTTTTCTAATAAATAAAATGATGTGTTTTTGGCATATTTTACGATCTTCGATGAATCATAAGATATATTCGCTAAAATCTTTGGGTACGTAACATTAATAGAAATCTCAGTTCTCTCGGAGCGATTTACAAAGGAAGCTTAGCTGGCAACCGCAACCGTACGAAATGTGGTCAAAAGGAGCGCATCTTCCCCCACGTGAAAAGACGTCGAGAGGATCTCACGAAAGAGGCAGAATCGATAGCGCGGGCGTCTTTGTGAGGTCTTATGCTAATGCACCGTTGATGTACCGTGCGTATAATAAGCCTGAGCGTCAGCGCGAATAAAATGCCGAACGAAGGAAAACAATGTTATCGCGTCATCTCTCGGCCCCGCGTTTGCTTGATATCGTATAAACCCTGCCGGTGATTTTTTTCTCATCTGAACACGCGCGTGCGAGCGCGACGGTTCTCTCATCAGTGCGCGTGAAGTATAATCGCCCTTACGAGAGAGATGAACGGTCTATGCATATAAATTTGCGAATGTGTAAAACAAACAACCGCGGTCTTTAAGGAAAAAAAATTGTATTTCCTCTCTCTCTCTCTTTTTATTTAGTTATAAATTATTCAAAGTGTTCTCTTACAGCTGATTATTGATAACAGTCTGCATTTTACGGACATTGCTTTCCTGTTGAGAGACAATCCTTACATATATATATATATATATATATATATATATATATATATATATATATATTTTATAACATGGCATAAAAAAGGATAGCCCGCTTTCGCGTTTACACTAGATAACGCGTATATTTGCGATTTCTAATGGACAAAAATCAAAAATCGTGATAGAGAAAATTGTACGAGCCTCTATGGTTCCGCATAGCTGAAGACTTTGCGTGTTTGCGAGTCTCGCTAGAGATCTCACCACGCGCTCAAATTAGACTATCGCCTGTAGCGTCATTCGTGCAACTGTCTCGCATGTGCGAAAATCTCCTAACAATCATGCACTCGCGTGATTTTTGATCTCAAGCTAGACTATTCGTATACGGGCTCTTATCGTTGATCCTAGATTTTAGATTCTTGCGTAAAAAGAAAAAACCAGATATAAGTAAAACTGCGAACAAGATTATAAAATAAAATAAAATAAAATCTGATAATTAGATTTTTATAGTGTTTTTGAACGAAGCAAGTTTGATCGTTCTGAAAAATTAATGATTCATAAATTCCGTCTTGAAGTACTTGGATTATTAGATTAATCAATAAAATACCTCGAATAAGCGTTTGAATGATTAATCAGAGCAAAGAATCTTATACTTTAAAACCAAAATAGCAAACGACATATACTTTATATTATTTAAATCTTAATATATTAGTTTTATATTAATTAAATCCAAGACCTCGATTTACGGTCGAACATATGTTCGTGGGAATTTAATTGCTCTCAGGAAGATCAAATCTGCTTCGCTCGAAAACGCTACTGAAAAAATCAAATTAAAATTCCCGAGTAATCACTGGCTTTGAAAGAACGTCTGTATCATCTCTAGAAACGCTTACCTAAATGTATAGCGGCGAGAAAGGCAAGACAGGAGTGCGCTATTCATCGATCCCCTACATAGGTATCACGGCGAGTGTATTCACCAAATTTTTTTCTCTCGCGGTTACAAAGTTTCCTTTCGAAATGCGGTTACGAACGACGAGATCGCGCGCAACATCCGTCTCGAGAGTCAAAGAGGACGCCGTAATTGATGTAACGAGCAGCAGCTCCATTCACCATACCAGGATAAGCGCATGCGAAGAGGCATTCGAGTTCGCGGTTTACAGCACGAGGGGGTTTATGACGAAACCCCCTCCGCTCGATAATTCCATCTTAGTCTACGGGCGATGCGTCTTTTCTTATGTACATGTCGGTTGTTTAACAGCATTTCGTTAACGGAGACTTATGAGAACGATAGATTGTCTTAAAATGGACATTTTCCACCGGTCTGCAATAATTCTTGCGAATTACATAATTAACGTCGCGACGCGGAAGCTGTAACGAATTGATAAACGAGACGAGAGCGCGATTCATTTTCTTGTAATTTATCGTTGGCGCTGAAGACATTAAGCAATCCGAGACGTAGCAATGTATTAATCATAAGCCATAATTTCCGAATTTATCTCTAAATAGGTTTTTATTTGATTAAAAATTACTCGGCAGAATGATTGGCGCGTTAAATCACAGAGGATATGTTTAAAGAGAATTATTGTAGGATTGATAAATTCCGATTGTAATTATTGATAATCGCAAACAATACGATAGAATTATCTGTGAAAAATATTTGAAAATAATATATCTTTAAAAAGAATGGATTGTGTGTGAGAGAGAGAAAGATAAATAGAACAAACAGTCATTTTTCCCCTTTCGAGAAACCGGATGTGATACATATCGGCAATCTTTATACGTGTTATAAAGTTTAAAAGAGCGTGATCTCTTAAAGTAAGTCGGGTCACGCGAGAACCGAAGGAAAGTTTCCATTGGAACAAAAGAATATTATTCGTACATAGCTCTCTGTGTTCTAACATTTACTTTTCTATCTCTCGCATATCGGATTCAATATCAAGATCGAACTGTATCTGACGTGACATTAATTTCGATTATGCTACACATTAATTACGATTTGCACTCTATAAGATATCGTCCTGACTTCCTTGATTATAATCACTAAAACATGAGGTTTCCATTAAAATATCCCTTTAAATGCAACGATATGACCGTAATATTGCGTAAATATTTAATGCTTTCTACCATTATCTGCTTCCTTTTTGCACGATAATCAGAAGACTTAAATCACAGACATAAGCGAGGGTTATCGGGAAATATCTATAGCTTGCTTTAAGTTTGTATATTCGATATTATATAATCCGAATTCTTTTATTTCTCTTGCGAAAGTGCACGGCTAACTTTAATTCGCAAACTTTATCTAACAATCTGTAAATTAAATACTTATTACATAAATCACTATGTTTTTGAAAATTATATCAATTTGAGACCAATTAATTTATTAGCCTTACGATCTTAGATTCGCTGCTAGGTAGTGTAGAAAAACGGCCGTTAAATAGATATATATGTAACATTAATTTAAGATAATAATGTTCCCGGAAATATGTTATCAAAGTTAGTATACTGTTCAAGAATTACGCTGACGCTCACCCGTCACATATTTCCATAACGGCTGAATTACTCGACTTTCCGCTATCTACCTTATTAATCGCGAAAGTATAGTCGTGTCTTAGCCCAGCTCTATCTAAGTCGGAAGTAAATCCACGGTACCCACGGTAGAACGTTGTGAAACACCGGTGATCGTTTCTGAGGTGTCGTGTGACTTGACACCGTACATGCATAAAAGCAGTACAATACTAGGAAATATATAGGATACCAGTTCTGGATCACTAGTAGAATAAAAAGTAAGTATTTTAGAATTTATCTATAATTTTACTCGATTTAATTATTGTGATATCTTTTACTTCCGCTTAAATTAAATAATGTGAATAATCCACAATTAATTGATAAGGATTCATCATTGATCAATTTTAAAAATGTTATATTGTCTCTCGTTTCTGTTAAATAATAAAATATTTATTATATAATAAGTGATTTGCATATATTACAATATAATAGGTAAAAAACAAAATTATAAATAGTAATTTATTTGTAGATTTAATGTCTAGTGAGGGGATTTCAAATATATTAAATAGATTGTTTCAAAATTATTAATATACATAAATCGTAAGTTACAATTTCGTAAAAATTAGTGAACTTTATCAAAAGATCTATTCTGAGAATAATCTTCTAACGGATTGACAAATTGATTCGATATCTGATTAAGAGCTAAATTGGTCAATCGATGATTATACATTATTGTGTTTGCTACAATGTAAATGTGATGCGTTGTTCGCTTTACGAGGTAATAATTAAACTGCCGGTACAGTAATTGCACAAAGCTTTGCAGCACAAATAGCTCACCACATTCCGACTGTACACGTATAGATCCTAATGGTTAACGTATCGCGCTCCAGCCGCGTATGCGGGATATGTATGTGAGTTTGTTGCAATGTTGCACCTGCCCTTCGAGCCTCCGAGCTGCTACTCTTCTTCCGTTTTGAATACATTTGCTTCGAGCAGGAATTAAAAAGCTGAACGAGCAGGAAATAATAAAACTAACCGTCATTTGTATGCTAATGAAGTTAAAAACAAAAGTTAAATCTCTCGTTAATTTATTTTGTTAATTAAAATATAATTTTATTCTCACGCGTTTTTTTTTTTTTAAAGATAATTACAAATATAATATTTCATTATAGAAATCAAGTTATTCGTTAATTTAAAAAAATACAATAGTTTTAATGAAATTGGCCATAATAGAATAAAAATATTGTTCAATAAATTGTT